GCGACCCAAACCATCTCGCCCGGGATTGCCCCCTCCCCGCCGATGTCCGCTCAATGGACATCCTCGACGAGGTGATCCAACAACTTCGGTGACGAGATGTTAGCGGAGTTGATCGCCCGCTACACGGACACAGCTGCCCTGCCGGAGACGGCAGCGGAGTCGATGGCCGGAGAGGATTTTGTCCCCGCGACGAGTGACTGGTGTGCCCTTGTTCGCGTCTATAAATCGTTTTGCCTCTTTGTATGATGAATGCAGTTCCTTGCCCTACAATGAGCCCGAAACGAAAGACACACCCTCTCCTGCCCCCGCCTCGACTCCGTCTCCGACTCCGCCTGCGACTCCGGTCATCGTCCTCCGCCGCCTCACTGCCTGGGAAAAGAAACTGCCCAAGCAGTACACCGTTGCCGCTGCCCCTGGGGCGAACTCCCTCCACCTCCCGTTAGAGCTCGAGTCCACCACCAGCGCTGAAGCTCTCACTCTCTGGGCTTGTCGACTGTGGTGCCACCTCCGACTTCATTGACACGAACTATGTTGCTCGGAATGGCATTCCGGTCCGCACCCTCGATCAGCCGATTCCGGTTTTCAATGTCGATGGCACCCCCAATGACGCTGGCTCCATCAAACAGATCGCGGACTTGGTCCTGCGCTACAAGGGCCATGCCGAACGAGTTCAGCTGGCCGTCACCCATCTTGGCAAGCAAGACCTCATCCTGGGGTATTCCTGGTTGCGGAAACATAACCCAGAGATCAATTGGGAAACCAAGGAGGTCAAGATGACACGGTGCCCCCGCAATTGCTCGACCTGCCGTGAGGAAGAGCGGGTCGAACGGACCGAGTTGCGGCGACTCCGGTCGCTTCAGAAGCGTCTCCGCTCCGGCCCGTTCCCCTCGGTCTGCGCCATGGACCTTTCTGGGTCTGATGACAGAGACGACTCCGTCTCCGGTGACGACTCCGGCCTGCCTGATCTGACGCCGGACTCCGACGATGACGATGACGATGGTCAGCTTGAAGATGGTGACCGCATCTTCTACACCTCGTTCCGCCCCTCGGAGGAGATACGCGCTGGCAGTACTGTCTCGCAACGCCTGGCCGAAGCCTTCGCCAGGAACTCCGCCCCTCCGCCCTCCGAGATCCCGGACTGGGCTAAGGAGTTCCAGGATGTCTTCAACAAGGAGTCCTTCGACACGCTACCGGAGCGGAGAGCCTGGGACCACGCCATTGAACTCGTCCCCGACGCTAAGCCCACCAACTGCAAGGTGTACCCCATCTCGCCCCTCGAGCAACGCGAGCTCGACGCGTTCATCGAGGAAGGGCTTTCGACGGGCCGGATTTGCCCCTCCAAGTCTCCGATGGCGTCTCCGGTCTTCTTCGTCAAGAAGAAGGACGGGCGGACTCCTTCGTCCAGGACTACCGTGCTCTCAACGCGATGACTGTCAAAAACCGGTACCCCCTTCCGCTGATCAACGACCTCATCAACCGGCTCAAAGGCGCTCGTTACTTCACCAAACTCGACGTCCGTTGGGGCTTCAACAACGTCCGGATCAAGGAAGGTGACGAGTGGAAAGCGGCTTTCCGGACTAACCGAGGCCTGTTCGAGCCCTTGGTGATGTATTTCGGCCTGACAAACTCTCCCGCGACGTTCCAAACGATGATGAATGACATTTTTCAGGACCTCATCCTCTCCGGAGACGTCATGATCTACCTTGACGACATCTTGATCGCCCATTCCGACCTCCGGAAACACCGGCAGATTGTTCAGGAGGTCTTGCGGCGACTCCGAGAGCACAAGTTGTACCTCCGAGCGGAGAAGTGCGACTTTGAAAAATCGTCAATCGAGTACCTCGGAGTCATCATCTCCCACAACCACGTCGAAATGGACCCCGTCAAGGTCGCAGGCGTCTCCGCTTGGCCGACTCCGGAAAACAAGAAGGACATTCAGCAGTTCCTCGGGTTCGCTAACTTCTACCGCAGGTTCATTCGGGACTTCTCGACCCTTGCGCGCCCTCTTTTCGTGCTCACCAAGAAGGACCAGCAATGGACTTGGGGCGACGCGGAGGCCTCCGCGTTCCAAGCGATCAAGGACGCGGTCACCTCGGAACCGGTCCTGGCGATTCCGGACGACACACGGCCTTTCCGACTCGAGGCGGACAGCTCTGATTATGCGACGGGGCGGTTCTTTCACAATCCGCCCCGGACGGGAAGTGGCACCCTGTAGCATTCTATTCCAAAAGCTTAAATGATGTCCAGCGCAACTACGAAATCCACGACAAGGAGATGCTCGCGATCATCCGCGCACTCGAGGAGTATAGACACTTCCTCGAGGGGCGCCGCGCACCCTGTCGAGATTTGGACTGACCATAAGAATTTGGAGTACTTCAGGAAGACGCAACACCTCAACCGGAGACAGGCCCGGTGGTCTCTGTACCTCTCCCGGTTCGACTTCACGCTGCACCACAAGCCTGGCCGCGATATGGGTCGGCCTGACGCCCTCTCCCGGAGACCCGACCACGGAGTCGATTCCGACAACTCCGACGTCGTCCTTCTGCGGCCTGAACTCTTCCACGTCCGCGCACTCGAGGGCGTTTCCGTTTCCGGTCCCGGCTCTGAACTCCTCCGTGACATCCGTGATGCCCTCTCCGGTGAGCCTGACCTGGAGGAGCCCGTCGCACTAGCGGCCCGGCAACTTCTTAAGGTTCAAGGTCAAGCTCGAGGCCCCCGCTCTTCACGTTCTGACGAGTGGGCTGTCTCCGGCGGTCTTCTCCATTTCCGAGGAAAGATCGTCGTACCAAAAGACAAGGACCTCCGGAGACGCATCATTGAGCTCTGCCATGACACCCGAGTCGCCGGACACGCAGGTCATTTCAAGACCTTGGAGTTGGTCTCCCGGAACTACTGGTGGCCTCAGATGTCTCGCCATATCGGCCGGTATGTTGCGACCTGTGACTTGTGCTGTCGCACCAAGGCACTCCGGAGACTGCCCCACGGAGAGCTGCACCCCACGGAAACGCCCCCGGAACGCTGGCATACCGTCTCCGTCGACTTCATCGTAGAGCTTCCCGAAGCCCATGGGTACGACGCGATCATGGTCGTCGTTGACACCCTCGGAAAGCGCGCCCACTTCTCAGAGTGTCATACGACGGTCGATGCAGTAGGGGCAGCCCGCCTCTACTACCGGAATGTCTGGCGGCACCATGGGACTCCGGAGAAGTACGTCTCCGACCGCGGCTCGCAGTTCATCGCGGACTTCACCCGAGAACTTTGGCGTCTAATCGGCATCAAGCCCGCCACGTCCACCGCGTCACCACCCGCAGACAGACGGTCAGACAGAGCGCGTCAACCAGGAGCTGGAGCAGTACTTGCGGATCTTCACCAACTACCAGCAGGACGACTGGGATGAGCTGATTCCGGCCGCGGAGTTCGCCTACAACAACCACGTTCACTCCTCCACGCAGCAGGTCCCCTTCATGACGGACACGGGACGGCTCCCGCGCATGGGCTTCGAACCCGGAGTCCGTTCCGCCATGGAGTCAGTGAACGAGTTCCGCGACCGGATCGCCACTGGTGTTGCTGAAGCCAAGGCCGCGCTCACTAAGGCCAAAGAGGAGTACAAGCGCTACTACGACCGGAGACGGACTCCGTCTCCGGAGTTTAAGGTTGGCGACCGTGTTTGGCTGGATGCCTCTGACATCAGGACGACTCGCCCCTCGGAAAAGTTCTCCCATCGCCGCCTTGGACCGTTCAAGATAGTCGCGGAGATCAGCAAAGGTGCCTACAAGCTCGACCTCCCTCCGCGCTACTCGAAGCTCCACCCGGTCTTCCCCGTCGTCAAGCTCGAGCTCGCTCAGGACGACCCCCTTCGACGGACGCCCCGGCTACGACCAGCCCCCTCCGGACCTCGAGGACGGAGTCCCGGAGTGGGAAGTAGAGGAAATCCTGGACGCAAGGGTGAGGTATAAGCGGCTGAACTACTTCGTCAGATGGAAAGGCTACGACGCATCGCACGACCAATGGGTCCGCTTCGACCGCGTCTTCGCCCGGAGAAAATTGCGGAGTTCTATCGTAAGTACCCTGGCAAGCCACGACACATCGCCTCCGCGACCTTCGACTCGATTCCGTTCCGGTCTATGCGTCGGGACGCCGCATTCAAAGGGGGGGGTGATGTCAGGGGAACCTCCCTTTCGGCCCCTCGGAGACGCCTCCGATTCCGGTCCGACTCCGGTTCCGTCTCCGGTCCGGCCCTCCATCTCGCCCGCACAATCACCGATCCGTCAACGCCCTCCCGACGGTCGCCCTGGGACCTCGCCTGCGACGCCGCCCAAGCCTTCTGTGCCCGACAGCGGCAGCTACGGACAAGCAGTATATAGTCAGCTCCCTAGCAGGCGGACCCTTAGAGTTTCTTCTCTTTGGATCCTCCCCTGCTAGGTCAGCTTCATTTGTATTCGCTTACCAATGTTCACGCTTTGGATCCTCCCCTGCTAGGACCTTGATCTCAGGCCTCCGGGGTTGCCCTTACAGCCAGCATCGAGCTGTTTTCATATTATAAGATTCCTCGTTATGTGAAACTGGATCTGGGCCGCTTATTTGGTGGCAGTTTAGGTGCCCATTTTGGCACCTGATTTCTCACAATAAAGGGTAGCTCCGGGTCACCATTTTTGCATAAAAACCCAATATTTGTTTGTTTGTTTATAATATGGTATATACCTGCATCGGAGAGCTACCGAACCTAGCATCTAATCACAGGTAAATCTAATCATGATGAGAAGCCTCTACCACACAAGTAAGTAAATTTAAATGCTAAGCCACTAACCTGAAACAAAAAACATCCTTATCATTAAATTGGTGTCGTCACACCAAACCATCTGATGTGACCTCTCCTTGTGATTGTGCTTATCGCAGCCACGGGCTGCTGCCACGCTCACATTTAGACAATTCACTTGGGTAAAAATCTCCCATGGTGCCTCTGCCATAATGTAACCTTGGGCTTCTCCTTCTTCACTCCCATGTCCGACTTCGACAACGAAAAGAATGCCAAGGTCGCGAGCGCAATAGAGGCAGACGAGGTCGAGCTGGCGCGGATGGGCTATAAGCAAGAATTGCGGTATGTCCACCCGGGAGATAAGCATGCGCGAGCTGACCGTTTGTCGGTGGCAGTCGAGAGTTAGGTCTCATGCAGGTGTGTAGACGCGTTGTAGTAGTATTTGACGCGTTTTCTTATGCAAGTTTCGTAGAACTTTGGGGTGGGCGTCTCGTTGAAGTCCGTCAATGGAAGATGACCAGCTTGCAGGTCTCCTTCTCTATTATCTCTGTGATAACAGGAATCCCATCTCTCTTCCTGTACGGACTAGTTGAGTCAATAAAGCTGGTTATATCGGCCTTCTAACAATTCATTCAGAATACTGGAGGTATGCTTTTGCAGTCCATCGGTCTGCCTTGACCAAGTGTTGTTTAGGTCCCGCTGTCATGGTGTGGGGCTGGGTCGTTGTTTGTATGTCAGCTATCCAAAATTATATCTGGGTTGTTTGACCGCATGCAGCGTTCTTCACAAGCTTGGTTGGCCTCGCTATGGGTGGTGCGTGTTTCTTTTTGAGTTGTTTCCTCATTTTCATCGTTCTACAGAAATTTGCAGGTTTGTGTTTCGATGTCTATGTTCAGCTAGTATCTTAAGCTTGTTCAGCGCCCATCCGACCTCCGGCGGCCCGTACTTCTGGGCCGCGATGCTGTCAAAACCGAAAGGCGCTCCTTTGGCATCATGGGTAACCGGTAAGTCGGCCCCAAGACCACTGATTGCTAGTGCCGAATGCTTTAGGCTGGTTCAATCTGTTGGGTCAAGTTGCTGTGACGACTGGTATAAGGTATGTCTCTTCCTACAGAATGGAGAGAGAGAATTGAACCGTCTAGTTTCGCTTGCGCGACCTTCATTTCGACCGCATGCACTCTGAAAACCGATTTCGTCCCGAACGAGAAGACCAATATTGGTATCTATGCCGCTGTTCTCATCGCCCAAGGCACGATTAACACTTTCGGCGTCAATATCCTGGGGCATTTAAACAACATTTCCGTCTGGTGGCACGCTATTGGAACGTTTTCCCTCGTCGTTGCTATCCTTGCCAAAGCTCCCCATCACCAGAGCGCCGAGTTCGTGTTCAAGACGTTCTTGGATGGGACCGGTGACCCGGGTTGGGGCTCAAGGGCAAGCCATGCTTACGTTGTGGTCATTGGGGTGCTCACTTTTTCTTGAACGTCGAAGTTCTTGTTGATGTTCCTTGTTAGATATTGATGTCCCAATACACCATAACCGGTACGCTTTCATTTCATACTACTCGACTTGCACTGACTCAAATACAAAGGCTTTGACGCCAGCGCACATATGACTGAAGAAACCAAAAATGCGGCCATGTCGGGTAGCATCGGTATCATCATGGCGATTGGTGTCTCTGCCGTCCTTGGCTGGTTCCTCATTCTCGGCCTGCTGTTCTCTATTCAAGATCTTGACGCGACGCTAGCGAGCCCTACGGGACAACCCGTTACTCAAATCTTCCTTGACACTGTCGGCGAGAATGGTGCCATTGTCCTTATGGTCATCGTTATAGGCGCCATGTTCTTTTGTGGAACTTTCTCGGTCACGAGTAACTCCCGAATGGTAGGTTTCTTATGATTTCTTGCTGAATATGATCTTACATCTGCAGATGTTTGCGTTCGCGCGTGATGGTGGTATCCCAGGTCATACCTTCTTCAACTACGTCAATACACGCTGGAAGTCGCCTATTCGCACCGTATGGCTGGCCTGTTTCCTTAGCTTCTGTCTCGGCCTCCCGAGTTTAGGAAGCTCAGTTGCTTTCGCTGCAGCTACCTCCATCGCGACTATAGGGCTCTACATCTCCTATGGCATACCCATTGCCCTCCATATCATCAACCATGACCAATTCGTTCGAGGACCCTTCCACCTCGGTCGATTATCATATCCTATCGCCATTATTGCTGTCTTGTGGATTCTCTTCATTTCGATTGCGTTCATCCTACCCCAAGTTAACGTATGTCCTTGTGTTCTTTGCGCCAAGTTGTTCGTCTCTCAATGTGCAAACAGCCTGTTGACTCCCAGACTTTCAACTATTCGATTGTTTGTTTCCGTAATGAAGACCTTTCCTCTACTCACTGATCCTCCAGGTTGCTGTGGGCATCGTCATCACCTACAGCTTCGGCTTTTGGCTCCTCAGCGCGCGTAAATGGTTTACTGGTCCGGTCAAGCAAATCGCGGGTGCGTTTGTTTTCAGCTTCTTCATTTCTCCTCTCCGTCTCCTCTTTCCTGTCGGTCAAGTAATGTTGATGTCCTTCTGTCTTTCTAGCCGAAGAAATGGGGATCAATGTCATGGAGCCTTCTGAAGCCCTGAAATTCGAGCAGGAGAAGGCAGCGAAGGATGGTGTTGTAGTATCGGCATAGCCATCGTCAAAACACTGGCAAGCCCTGCAACGCCTTCTCAACTCGGCTAGGCTCGGCGGGAGCTGAATATAATTATCAGTATTTCGAATGTACGTCGTGGCGGGATAACCTGGAAGGCCAAGAGAGTTCATTAGCCTCCCCAACCCTGCATCCTCCTCTTGGTTGCGACGTGCATGGCGGCCGACATTGGCTGCAGTTGCGATAGATGTCGAAAGACGCAAGGGGCGGCAGAGCTAATCAGTCGATTGACGGAATACCTCGATGAGGTAAGTATGGGTGGAGATCATGATGTCATTCGAGAACTGACACTACCCCTAACTTCGACTCGGAGGAGCCGGCTTGACTTTCTCGGCCACGTTTTTCGTCAACGACGGCGTCGACCCATTGTACCCCGAGTCCCCGACTCCAAGCTGCAACTCGTTGATGCATGGTTTATCCTTCATGTTTTCTCGACATGTAGCGAAACGAGGAGGATTTTCCTCGAAGAAGCCAAGAACCATTCACAATTTCAACTGGGGTTATGAACCTTCGTTGCTATGTCTCCCTGTCAATTCTGGCAAAGACCTCCTGAAGTAACACGGAGAGCTTCATTAAATTTACCCTGCCTTTAAAATGCTAGGTGGGGAGGATGTGGCTCCACCATCGTTCTCCTCTCCCTCTCTCGCTCCACCTCCCACCTGTTTTTATCCTTTGAGATGCAGCAAGTCTCCATCAACAGTATTGGCGGACCACTCGCCGTTGCGTACACAATCGCGACCCCAACTTCGCCTAGCGCCAAAGCGATCAATCCGTCTCTCCCAACCGTTCTACTTCTTCATCCTCTTTACCTTGGGCAAATATGTCTCCATTGTACGCGTCCTTCGTCATTAACATTCGAGTTGAATCCTCAATCCATTCCGATAGATCAATTCGCTGATGCTCGCCTCCGCCAATTTAACCTCGTCGCCGTGGACCTGCGCAACTTTGGGGATTCGGTGGGGCCAGTCAAGCCGAGCTACGACGTCGGCGAGGCGGTCGACGATGTAGTCAAGTTTATGGTTCGTCGACCCTCATATGCCAGTTCTCTTGAGCTCACCGTCACACGCACTGGCAGGAAGCCCTCGCTCTCCCAGCAGTTCATATCGTAGGCATTAACTTGGGTGCTATGGTCGCAATAGAGCTCGCTGCTCTCTGGCCCCAACGCGTAGCATCACTTACAGCTATTTCTCCTCCGGCGATGGAAGAGGTGGGCCTTAATTCGCTTTCTCCTCCAACTCCTAATTCCTCTCAGCCAGCAGAAGTTGCGGAGGGGCGACGCGAGATTCTGGAATATTGGGCGGCGGCGTTCGGAAGCGAATGTCAGGCCGAGCCAGTGGACGAATCAGCGCTGCTCGATGCTGTAACTGGGGCCCTTCAACTCGGCCTGAATGGCGTCGAAGACCCTTTGATCGCTCCGTATGTCGTCTGATGGTTTCTTGCGTTGTTCTTAACACTAGCAGTGTCATCAACATTGCTCTGGGTATGGTCAAACGGCATCAGACTGCGGCCAATCTTGATGCATATGAGCGCACCACAGTCAGTTTCTTCACTGAGCGTTCACCGCCTACCCTTCGCGGGATCGCGTGTCCCGTGCTGCTCGTCCACTGCGGCCAAGACATTGCATACGACAGGGCTGGGACTGAGGCCTTGCGCGAGGCCATGCTACAAGCTGGCGTAGAGAGCGTGCGCTTGGAAGATGTTCCAGAGGCTCCTCAGTGGGGACACATCACGCATCCGAAGGAGTAAGCTGGCAATCATTTCTTCACAGGAATATTCCTCACGCTAGTCCCAGGGTCAACCAACTAATATACGATCACGTTATCGAGTGCGCCGCCGAGCAGAATATCCCGACGGCCCTCAAATCATCTCCCGTGTCGCCGTTCAGCGCCGCGCTAAACGCCGCTGGGTTCTTGAAGAGCCTGGGCGACGAATCCGACTCGGAGGATGATGACTCAGACTAAGTTGGAACCCAAACTTTCTCTTGCGCTGTTTGATCTGGACCATATATCATTTGTACTTTTGCTTTTACAGGAGCTGGACCTACTTGTTTTCCTTGAATCTCTTCTCTTGAGCCCAGGGTGGCGGCTGGCCTTTTGGGCTTGAGAATACTCAGACGTGTATGATAGTGTATTTGAAATAAATTGAAATATCGATCTCTCAGGTCTGTTTCGCCCACATGTTAGGTAAGCTGTCGTGACCGCGAGCCATCGATTACATCAGCTTTTCTCTCCAGTCCATTTCGTTGCCATTTCGTCAATTTACGGAAAACCATCCTTGCTGTCCAACCACGAAGAACCAATACGAACATTCCGCTCCACCGAATGGAACTGCGGCGGACAGTCTTCACGCGTTTGAAGGAAAAAAGTGGTTTCCCGCCACAAGTTGACATTGTGAGACGAACGGTCTAAACTCCGGTATATTGTGGCTGAGATTACCCAGTGCACACCCAGACCATGGCTTATGGCTCATCTCCTCGACTCTGAACCATGAGCCCTTTCTGTACAGAGGACAGAAAGCTCAACTCAAACTTTGGAGAGACAGTGCACCTCCACCGATGGAACTTCCTCTTCGTTTTCGTGACGATATGGCGATAGAGCGGGGTATCCAAAATGTATAGCCTCCAGCCGCACGGAAATGATTGTCTGCGCCGTACGCCGTTGGTAGACCTGTTCATGGTTGTGGACGAAGTCAATATGTACCACGGAGAGCGGCAATCTCCCAATGCACTCCCTTCAACGAATCTGGCATAGGCATGATCCCGGGCACGCCATAAGCCACTGCGGTGATTCGGTTACCAGGCCCTTCTCGAAGATATGATAGAGCCATTCCTTCCGAGGCCAGCCCAATCGCACGCCAGCTTCCCCAATCGGACTCCCACCACTCGATTTGACACCCTTCTATCGCTCAATAGCGCCGAATACAAAACGCAGTCCCGCATCACTCACGGCCCCCCATCTACATGCTCCCGTTCGGTCTCAAACTCGCCTGGTTTGCGCTGTCGCTTACCGGTACGTATAAGTTCAGGATTATGATGGTCAAGTTATTCACTTTTCTAAAAGGCGTAGTTGGCTGCTGGGCGGTCCTTCTTCTGCTCGGATCGGTTACAGGAAGGTTGTGGGCTCCAGTTGCGTATGCGGTCGGTGCCACTATAATCGAGGTCATCTTCTTGCTGGGTGTGTGCCCTGCTAACGCATCGCTTCCTCTATCTCATTTCGTTCAAGGCTTGATTTGGCAAATGCAGCCCGCGAAAATGCCTGTCGCGTTTTGTTTGGGTGGGCATCCTTTTGGTTGCGCACTCCGTTCTGATGACGCTACTAGTACAAGTCCTTGGTTTCGGCTCCGCGTCTTTCTTCCTTGCGGGTATTCTCGCTGCTCTGACTACTGGAACGACGTTGTATGTCGCAAAGCCAAAGCAATGGAGCTCATCCGATGAATCAAAGTCTGTCTTTTGCTCGATGTGCTTTCAGTTACATGATCTCTACTGCAGCGCGTTAAAATGGCGAGCATACTATCTGCTTCCCACTCTCGTCTTTCCTTTGCTTGCGACAACAGTCCATGTCACGTTCGTCATATTCTTTTCCGACTTCAATATTTCCGGTGGTATGGTTTGCGTACCCCATCCGCTATGGTGTGTTGTTTGCGTTCAGTTACAAGAAAGGTTATCCTAACAACTACGAGGTTGAGGTTCTTGAGCTTCGGGGGCCCTCCTCTCATCATTACGATTCCTTGTCTCTGCTTCACCATCCACTCCGTCATACGAGTTTCTCAGATTCACCAACACATACTCCGCGCACGTCGCTCTGTCAACTTCGAAAACCTCGACCGCTTTACCGTGAGGCCTACGAGGTCGGACAAATCATTATTCAAGTCAAGGTCTAGTCGCTTTGGAACACCAACCACTAGTCCTCCAACGAGTCCACGTGGAGTAGCTATTACGACTCTATCTCCCTCGTCCTCTGTTCGTGCCACTACACAACCGCGGAAAGAGGCCGTTGCCTTGGACGATAAACTTCGCAGCTTTCACCTTCCGTTTAGCGGGCCGCCTCACGCTCAAGGCGCGACATCATCATCGTTGGACGACGAATCGTTCGACACAGTCTCCAGTGTTTCGTTTGCCGCGATGGCTACGGCAGGTAACAATAATCTGAGGAGTACTACCGTCCAAGCAGTCAAGCCGCACTCCTCGATTGCCCAGCTCTTTGGCCTATATAATACCGAAGTCGACGGGGACGACGTCCAAACGCCACTGCGATCCAAAAGCCCCACTATACAGACAGAGCCTCGGAGCGAGTCGATCAACAACAGCGACCGCATCTCACCCAACGAGCTGGCAGCCAACATGCAGTACCAAGGCGATTTGTTGGTCTCCAGCGCCAGTGGGATTGGTGATCTATCATCTGAGCCATTCGACGACATTGCGACCCGTGGGTGTCTGTCTTTTTTTTTTCAAAGATGGCTTGATGACATTCCTCTCCAAGTCCCATCTAAAGCCGCAACAGCATACCGCAATCCTCCCAAACTTCCTTCGCTTATCCGCAGTCTGCTTGCATTCCAACTGTGCGTTTTGTCGCCACCATTCCCCGAGTTCAGCTCTGACAATGTACTCTAGCCTCCTCGTGATCACGCAACTTCTGTCTGTTATAACTCCACTATCCGACATTGCACGCGGCGGCGCTCATGGGACACCAGCCGAGCTCGGAACCCAGCATTTCGCGCTTATATTGGTGGCGTGGGCGCCCATCTTCGCGTTCGGTGTGTAAAGGCTTATTTGATTGCTCTGATCTAATTTGGGTGGTTCTATATAGGTCCGCTCGGTGCCGTTCGTTCAAAACTTATTTTCTGGCGGTCTCGGCCTCGATAGCAACATACCACTCTTTTGCTTTGAACTCTTAGACTACACTCACACTTGTATTTCTACAGACACACGACATGCCCGCTCCTTGGATTCCTGACTGTTGTATGGTATATCCCACTTGTAATTGTCTGAAGGACTTGATACTGATACTGTACCCTCACAAATTTAGTTTCAACTGAACCCTGAAAGTGGGTGCCCACAAATGTTTCCTTTTTCTAGCTGTTTCTACATTGAGAATTCAAGTATTCAATGTTCAGGCTTCAAGCTTCAAGCTTGGTAGATTTCGTGGCCTTGAGTCGTAGATAGGAGCACATTTGCAAATGTGCAGTAATTTCGGCGGAATAGATTGCGGGAGCAGATCATCATCACCTCGCTCCTTTCCTTTCCCCCACCTTCTTGGCACTATGCCAAATCCCGTGGACGACGCCCCGCAACAGACTGGGCCTATTTCTCTGCCCGTAGAGGGGGGGAGTAGACGCTCCTTGCGTGGTTTCCACCGTGGCGTTGCTTCCCTCAGTCTTATCGCGCTTGTCGCTGTTTCGCTCGTTCTCTGGCAGCACCCACCACGACTTCAGAGGGGCACGGATGAACTAAGTGTACCCAGCAGGTCTTACGACCCCCGGTTAGAGGTGAATAACTAGTGTTTGCTCAACTGCGAATTTCTGACTCATATTGCGCAGCGGTATCAAACGCCAGAAAGCGCGGCTTTCTGTGCGGATTGGCGCGAAGACGGCTCTAACGAAGCCAGTGCCGAATTCGCGCTTGCGGTGGACAATGCCTCGTTGACTTTCTTGCTCTCTCGGGGGCCACTGCATGGTGACGTTCATATCGTGGAAGCTGAATCCAGCTCTGGTCCCTTCAAAGTCGCGGTGTCGGCCCGTTTTGATACCAAGGATAGGCTAGAAGCGACTAAGGCGTGCCTTATGTCGTTGGAGCAGGAGCAGGGGGTGTTGTTCTGGGTGCGTTACATCTACTTGTAGCTTTTCTGCTTATCGCTGAATTCATGACTAGGCCGAACCACGACATCCTCACGGCGACCCCAGACAAGACGTGCGCTTGAATATCACCCTTTCTGTCCCGCGGTCAAGCGGGACGGGAAAGCCGGGCCACAACGACTTGTCGACAGACCTGCCTTTGTTCAGCCACCATGTTGGCGAGTTCTTCCACTTCTTCAGTGGGACGGATTTCGAGAGAATTCGCCTGCGGTCGTCTAATGCGCCTGTTGACTTTGGGGTCAGTGCTATCTCACCCACTCCCTAACTTATTTCACTTATCCTAATTCAGAGTCTTATCGGACGTTCAGCATTCATTGAGACAAGCAACGCTGAGATGCGTGGATTTTTCGCGGGCCTGGAGTTAGATGCGCGGACGAGCAATGGGGAACTGAAGGCGACTGCCTTCATGTTTGGAGATGCGGATGGTGCAAAAGCGCCCGTGAATCTATGGACTTCGAATGGGTGCGCCAACTCTGTTTATCTTGCTCTCTCTCTCTCACTCCACTCGCCAGGGAGGTCAATGCCGCGTTATCACTAGCGAGCGACTACAAGGACAACTCCATCCACGCCACTATCCGCACTTCTAACGCCAAGATGCTGGTCCAGACTAGGCTGTTGGGCGACAACACCACCATTGTCTTGAACGCATCGACCAGCAACGGGCCAGCGGACCTCTATCTCGACTCGACTTTCGAGGGAGAATACGACATTCAGACGTCGCTAGGCACTGCCAAGATTGACCGCAACCCAAACACAAGGGATCCCAGCGGGGGTACTCGAGAGCATGTCATTACACGGACGAGAACGGGAAAACGCGCGAGCGGACTGGTTTATTGGGGGAAAGACGGAGAAGGGCCAGCTGAAGACGCGCGGTTAGGCGAGGTGACGCTGAAGACATCCAATGCCCCAGTTGTATTACATTTGTGAGACAGTATTGGTTTGGTCTGTCGCGGTCATGTGACTTCACCTTCTGACTTTCTCATCTGCGACCGCTTCCCTCTGTCGCGCGTCTTCACGTGCGTGCCTGTATAGGGCGGCAGTCGCGCCAAGTAGCGCGAGCAATGTGAACAATGCGAGTGCAAATGCCAGACCCAGTGATGTCGAGGCACCTTGTCTTGATCCAGCCAGGCCTTGAATATGGGTATATAGTGCAATGTCGGCGATGACGGCGCCTAGGGCAAGAGCCGCGGCGAGGGTGGCGATACCTAAGGCGAGCAGATGACCGAAGGAGGACTCGCTGGTGGGCAGGCTCAGAACGAGGGAAGTCAGAGTCAGGGGGGTGACTTGGAGTGGGTTTTCAGTTGTCAAATGAATGCATAGATGGAGCGGGCATACCGATTGAGTGCAGGATGAGGCCTTGGGTCTGTGTTGGCTCTACGACAAGGCTACTTATGTTCACAAGATAGCCGAGTCCTGGAGAGAAAGATCAGCACGTCGGGACGAGGGAGCGAGTAAGTTACCTGGATTCGGAGCAAGGCAATTGCTCTCTCCGGAAGAGGTCTCCAGACAGAACTCCCTGCCGTATTTTTTATTTCTAGCACATTTTAATTGATGAACGAACGGCATAGCTTACCAGGCCTGGAAGTGGATCGTGGCAAGCTCGCTCTTAGCGCTCGCGTCTGTCCGCAGAGCTTGTATTCGGACAATGTCCATGCCTGGAGCCCAGACCAAAGCACCCCCGACGAGTGCGAGCAGAAGAAGAACAAGTGCGACAGTCAAGGGGGGTTCAAGATCCTTATCAGGCACATGGGGTAGGGGGGGGGGGTCCCTGGGGGGTAAAAAAAACTTTTTGTATATAAAAGATTTGGGCCTTATAGGGGTATAAAGACACTGAAAATATAGTGTATACCTTCTAATTTCTATAGTTCAGCACTCTCATTACTTATATCTATATACTTTCAGGCCCATGCACTTGGATAGCCCACTCTGTCAGAGGCCCATGCATCAGGTAATTGATGAGAGGTGAACATGTTGGAGGGTTAATATGGCCTTCCATGTGTGTGTTGGAAGGCTCTAGGTACATACATACCTACACATATACACATACACATGTATAAATTTTTTACAAAAAAAAGTTTCACAAAGATTGAATTTTTTATCCCACTTTTTGATCACATCAGTGGTCACATGACGCTGATCGTGAGAATATATTACTATATATGGCAGGAGGGGGGGGGGGTCCCAGGGGGGTCGGAAAAAAACTTTCCGACCCTATATCCGTGATTCGAACTTTGAACCCCCCTTGGCGACAGTCATTGCGGAGGGTTTGCGGCCCATTATGCCAGTGGTGAGCTGCAAAGACACTGTTGGAAGAAAGAAGTCAGAGAAGGGTCACAAAGAAGAAGAGGCCGAGGATAAGCTACCAGTGGGGCAGAGCTTTATGGCTTTCACAAATAGAATTCGGGACGGGAGTTCGCATGTAAGCCATTGTAAGGTGTCCCCAATTTGTCCATCATCTGTTCATTCAAGTTGGCGGAGCCTTGATATCGAAAGGACCGCAGCAGCGGCTCCGGAGTTACCGATTTGTGTGAGGCAGGGGATGCATGTAGGCCGCAAAACTAGCGGCTGTCAATGGATTCTCGTAGTAAAAAGCAGGCCTGAAGCGCCTCATTCGTCAGAGTGGCGGTAGAAAAGCCCCTGCTGTCCGTTTGTCTCAGGGTCCCGCGGGTACTAGTAGCACTGGCATGCCATATAGGAAATGAACATTGGATATTGATGGCGCGTTCATCATTGCAAACGCCATAGCACAGCCAGGTTGGCACTACGACTTGTCGCATGCAGTGCCAGTGATCGGGTGGGCTTGGGTGGCGCGGACTATGAGGCATACCGTGACTACGAGGGCACTAAACAATTTAGGCTTGATGAGGCTACTTTAAGTTGCTCAAGCGGATTTCTTGCAAAAGATGGGGGAAGCCAGGAGAGAGGGGCGCTGCAGAGTACAAGGACTTGAATGAGTAGTCAAGGGCATTGAAGCTTAAAAGGCCGGAGTCAAATATTGGTCAAATACGAGGAGAAGGACAAGTGTCACGCTCCCGTCACAGAGTCATAATTGATTACGGATCAAAAAGCCTCCAGCAAATAGTCTCAAGTGTGCATTGGTACGATTTAGCTACTTGATATCTCTGGAAACGCACGAGCCGTGACTGAAGTCCTGCCTTCATTGTTTCCTGAACCGCGCGAATATCCCCCCCTTTCCACTCGAGAATGCAGGGTAATCACTCCCGCTGGCTTCCTCCCTGCGTCCGCCCATGAAGATAGCGCCAGTCGCCACAAGCAGCGCCAGGAGCATGATGACCGACAGCCAAAACGCGGGCCCGAGATGAGTGCCTGGCGTGTTCGCAAAGGTCCCCACCATGCCTTTCAGGTGGGCGTACAGCGCGATGTCGACGAGGAAAGCGATCAGCGCGAGGAAAGAGCCCAGTGCTGCGACGACGAGCGAGAAGAGGTGGCCGTGCGACCAGGTAACCAGGCTCCCGATGAGCGAGATCAGCGTGAATACCATGACTGACGGGAAACATGTTAGATTCCCGCTGAAGGGCGGTGGCGCGGGAGGTGCTTACCAACGGGATGGATGGCCAACCCCCGTGTCCACGCTGCCTTGAGAACGACGAATCTAGCGTCGGTGAGACTGCCGATAATCACAGAGTAGCCGTGTCCTAAGTTTAGTAGATGCATGAGATGTTGAGGTTGACGACCAGCCTGAGGACTGAAAGAACGTGCCTCCAACAACGCATTCCCGTTTGCCAGAGCCAAGATAGTAGCATGGGGCCCTTTGTGGTCCGTCAGCAAACGCACTGTAACCGAAGAGTGCTCACCAGATCCCAAACCGGAATTCTTTTGTAACGTCGTCGCTCTTCGGCGCGCGGGGGAATGTCACCCGGACAAAGTCCATCGCAGAGAAGGTTGGCAGCGAAATCGACACCATCGCGCCGAGTATCAGCGTCAGCGCAAGCAGCGTGACGGCGGTGAGGTAGAGCTGGCGGCTCGGCATCTTGAAGGTAAAGAGGTTTTTCGAAGTGAATAAGGATAGAAAAGCGAAGAAGAAGAATGAGAGATGAACAGTCCAAACGCCTTTTTGAAGATCGCTATTGACAACAATCCATCGCTCGTAACCTCAAAGAGTCGGGAAGATAACCCGCACTGCGTCCGTCGTAGAACCCGCTTTGCAACAGGCTGTGTGGTGAGAAATCCATTTCAATCGACTAAGAGTTCAAGTTCCTTTCGATGCCGTTCTGAATTTGAAGCTGGGAATTTCAAGTTGGAAAACGAATTGAAGACAGACCAACACGCCTTCCCGACCCTTTTAGTACCTATGAGCCCGCCTGTTATGGATGCGAAAGTCTTACGTTTTGGTTTAAGGAAAGTAGCGTGGTGGCGGTGCTAAAAGTAACCATTGCAATGAGCGAGCTGCAACTGTAGCTAGTAATACATATTTAGATTGGTCGAGTCCAAGAAATTTGGTCCGTAATTGGGTATTTGAGTCGCGTTGGTATTGTCCCTACATTTGATCCACACCCTCCGCGCACAGCCCACAGCCAATGCATTCGAGACAGGCAAGGCCACCGCAGCAGGCGCAAAGATAACACGGGCAGCAAAGTGGGTTCTCAAACGACCCTACGCCAAAGGTTTTCAGCTTCATTTCAATAGTCAAAGAAGAAGAACGCACCCTTGCAGCACCAGGCGGCAAGCATTATCCCAAGAATGACCACGACCAACAGCCCAACGAAGATAACGATGAGGTATACTAATGGCGAATCAGCTTTTTATCGGATGCGAACCTGACTTTCACGCACGCTTATTCTTGGTAAAGCTTGATTCGGAGCCAGAAGAGCTTTGCCCATCGCCCAACGCGCGCTTAACAGCGAAAAGGCCATCGAAAACGGCCGATGGATCAGTCGCGTCGCCGCCAAAGAGACAAAAGAGGGCGAGCAGCCCAGAAAGGGAGACGAGGACGAGGAGGGCAGGGACAAGAATGCGGCGGAGACGCCCATTATGGCAGTGCTTGTGCTCGTGGCATGGGGCGTGGCTCTGTTGCGACCATTGTGCAGCGTCCGCCTCTTCATAAGATGGTGCTTTCTCGTTAGTGGCAGCATATTGCGGCGCCATCATCGCGGGTTGTTTTGGAGTAGAGATCGTTGAGGGGGACATTGTCGTGTGGGTCGTACAAGTTGTCGTCGTAGTGGGAGGGAAGAAGAAGGTCCTTTTTACCGATGACGACACACGCCTTATAGTATTTTGATCCCGTGATCGACAGCTTTTTTGGGTTGGCTGCGGAGGGCTTGGCGTGAGACATAGGGGATTTTCGCGTTGATTTCTGGCGGATACTTGCTGTAGCGCATGTAACGAAGATGGTCCTCGCTCTTGACGGGATACTGGTGCAAATCGGTGAAGTAGTCTTCCGGAAGCTCAAGCGCGACTGCAAGCAAAACAAACAATGGATCGAGGACCTCAGTATGCAACGACTAGTTGTCATCAGTATCAGCATGGTGTCAAAAACTGATGACGGTACTCGAGCAAACCTGACAAAAAAGGCTCAGAACTTGGAACAACCCAAAAATGAAGCTAAAATACCTTGAGAAACTTGGTCATGGCTGTGTGTAGCACACGCCTAGATAGCAAAATACGAGCTAGACGAACAGCCTCAAGAAGAATATATCCGCAGTCGCAAGGCCAAGTTGTAGAGAGCGAACCCAATCCTGTGCGGGTTCCCATGGGCATCGCGGGTGGGCATATGCCCATGGGTACTCATGGGCATGTCCTGCAGGATAGGTCTATCCATCCTGCAGGATGGGTCTATCCTGTAGGATAGGTACATATCCTACAGGATGGTTGCATCATCCTACAGGATGGTTACATTGTCCTGCAGGATGGTTACATTGTCCTGCAGGATGGATAGACCTATCTTGTCCTGTAGGATACATCAGGAAATTTGCACGACCCTGATGTCCGTTGGTGCCGCTGATCAGCTGAGATCAGCTCGGCGACGGCTTGGCAATCGCTGATCATACGCCGTCTGTCTCATGAACTCGGTGCCATGCTGGCAAAAGCCTGGTCGACTGCTGGCCGGCACTGGTCAAGGATCCCGCCAGGCTGCCCAGAGCGGGGCCCACACTATTAATAATATCAGCTATTACTGCTCTGTAACATGTGTCGCCTTCATCCACTTACAAGTATACTGCACTTGAACAATCTTGAGTCGGGGTCAAGTCGGGTTACATCCGCCGTTGCTTTCAACGTGAGGAACGGCAAATATTCTAAGTCCAAAGTATCAGCACGTGCATCGATGGCGTGATGATTACTGATCTGTTGACAATCTGATCGGGTCGTCACACGCGTCATGGGTTGTTTCCTGCCTTCATCCTCTTCGCCCTCTTCCCCTCTTCCCCCCACAACCCCCCCTCTCTTTGAGCGAACGCCCCGGACCTTCATCAAGACTACATGCCAAGCCTCCCTCAAGCTCAAGCCTCTCACAAGCTCAAGCGTCGTCTTCAAGCTCTCAAGTACCCCCCTACAGGCCTCAATCTGCCCTGACTCCTTCAAACCACCCGCAAGCTAGCGCTCAAACCTCGCAAACAGGTCAAGGGTTACTCATCAACATGCCACAAGCTCTATCATCGCCTCATCCAAGTACGATTGATGCTTGCGAGTTGGCGCGGAGGGTGATTGGGAGGGGGAATTCCGGAAGGGATTGACATTGGTTGTGTATCGGTGAGTGTCAGGCTGTTCCTTACTTTCCGTTCCTAATGCTGCTGCCCAGAATTGTGTATGGATCACTACTACATGAATCTTATGGGTGCTACCATTGGATGGGGTTCGCATCCTGCGCCATGATTACAGTTGCATTATCTCATTCTGTACTTTTTTATTCAATTTATCCATTGTCTCCTCCATCTTCATTATATTGCATTGTTTCCGAGGCAATTGAATACTGTGTAACCAGTGCAGTTTGGCTCAAAATCCGCCAGCTGGTGACAACTGGCCAACGATGGCGAAAGTGAGTCGCCCTGGTAAGCACTCACTTGGCGTTGGCCAAGTGGGTCACCAGCATGGCCGCGCTGGTGATGTTGGTAAGCGCTGGTCAACGTTGACCATGATCGCGCAAATTCCCTGATGTAGATAGACCCATCCTACAGGATAGATATACATATTTTTATATAAGAATATCAGCAAGGTTTTCATGTCAACAATATGTTATAATGTGACTGCTTGTGTTTGATGCTTTACTTCCTGCTGCCACCTACCGCGATTGGTATAGGGCAAAGGGGAGGATGTCATCACCTGTGTTTTGTTCCCCACCACCACCACTCTCTCCACTACCTCCCTACAACCCTCTTCGCCCCAGTTACATTTAAATTGCCCCAGTCTATCTCCAACCACACCAGCGCCTAAAGTTGCCCCGTTCACATGGCTACTACAGCCCCAACATGCCCGCCCTGTCCCTTGCATTCTTTCCCCCCACCACTCCTTCCCCTCTGAGCTCTCTCCCATTTGACCAACACTGCTCGCAAGCACAACCATCATATGGCATGGGAGCGATGAGTCGTCGCACAGCCCTCACACTTGCCCACCCGCCAAACTAGTGTGTGACAAGCGGGCCAGGGCCAGTCGTTGGGTCCAGACATTCTAAATATACTAAATTTTACATAGGAATATATAGTTTTGAGTAACAAAGAGCCTCGGCCCTCCACACTCTCAGAAATTTTGTGCAAATTTTGATGAGTAACAAAAAATTGGGCCGTGGCCAACTATTTTGAAAACAGCTGTAATTCCATCCTGCAGGATGGGTCTATTTATCCTGTAGGATAGGTATATTGCCATCCTGTAGGACAAATAGGATAGCTATCCTATAGGATTGGTACAAGTATCCTACAGGTTATATTAGCAGTAGTCCTACAGGATATATCAATACTACAGGACAGATATCTGCTATGTATCCTATAGAGAACCATTCCTACAGGACTGGTTGGTTAACCTGTAGGATAGATGTTCAAGCATCCTGAAGGATAAGTCTACCTATCCTATAGGATATATAGAGCCATCCTGCAGGTTATGCCCACATCAAATTACCATGGGAAAATGCCCATGTGCATATGCACAGGATTGGGTGCATTCTGAAGTTGTAATCGGCGCCAGAACACTGGATTGGTAACAGTTTGCTTCAGCGACGTAAAAAGGATTGGCTAGATTACAGATAATCAAGCAAGATAACCATCATGATCTCCGTAAATACTAGGAGGCTCATAATGTGGATATGCGCCAACCGGCCATGTCAGCTCCCAGTTCACCGCAGGGCATTGTGGGCTTGGAGAATCCCATGGCGAAGTAGCTCCAGTGTACATCGAGGCGAGAGACAACGCGGATGCCTCGCTATAGCAGCTATCGAGACTGCTTGCCCTGCTGTTATTCCTTGAACGACTGAAAGAGGAGATGCGAGCCGTATCCTCCGCCACTGGCGAATCAAGGTTTAAAGTTGAATGTACACCCCCGTAGGAGAGCTCGTCAAAGTGAAGCTGGTAAGTGGGTGATGGCGACTGCTGACGACTGCTCATATGTTGGTATGGTGTGAATCGAGGGGCTTGAGCATGAGAGTTGCGAGTATTTCGGCTCAGCGAGCCAGATTTGGGAAGAGTTTCCGGTCGGCCGCCATGCAGGCTTGCCGTCAATGGGTGACTATTTCGCGGTTCGTGGGCGCCGAGAAACTCGAAAGCAATGGGGAGCTTCAAGGGCAATGGCGCTGCATGTCGCGGTCGGGGAACCGACCTGGCTTGCTCTTCCCCGACTTCAAGATACTCGCAAATGATGTTTTTCCTCAGGCAAGTGACACATGAACGCCGTTCAGTATGCTTTTTGGCTGGAACACACTAGGAAGGCGTGTCAATTGGCTGCATGACAGAACTAACAGCAACAGACGCACCTTAATGTGCCTCCGACGACAAGTAACGCAGGCGACATGGATACGATCGGCGGTTTGGACGGTGCTAGACATGGTGGGGAGAGGGAAGGGTTCGCTCTTTGCGAATGTATAGGTCTACTTATACCCTCAGAATGAATACCCTGACAGACCACGTTAGATCACGAATGCCGGGGACTTTGGGCATTGTCATTATCTGCCGGAATATATCAACATTTGCATTCACAGAATTTAGCGAGTAAAGATCAGCGGATATGGAATACCGGCGAGGTTTCAATCGAGTTTGGGGTATTTCGGTTTGGCCAAGTGCCTCGCAGATCATTTATTGCTCAGTTGGCATCAAGCGTGCCTACGAGTGGCGATTGGAATACGGAAGAGAAGTGGAACAGTCGGAAGGCACTGCAGGAAGCTAGCGAGGTAGTGAGCGACCATATCTGGTAAAACCCCCCGCTCCATGAACGACAGATGATCAAGGCTTTGGCAGGTCCATAGATAACGTTGATTGATTTTGTTCGCTGACTGGCTACTGCGCGAGACTTTGAGGCTGGTAGCTAGTACGACCACTAGTACGAAGAGTAAGAGCCCCTGGAGTTCGGGATGCTTCGATATCGGCGAACTGCCAGCTACCAGGTAGACTGTCATTCCGTTGTTAACTTCGGCGCCGCCTGCCCACCAACACGCAGTCGTCGTTCGTCGAAAGATGTACTGGGGATCGACGGTCGGATTGCAGGTGTGCCACGTGCAGTGAATGGAAGCAGAAGTACCCCCCGTCTGCTAGGTCGAGTTTGTGACGACGCTCAGCTTGAGTATTTGGAGGTGGAAAAGTATTCGCTCATACTCCAGTGTTTCATCTATTATTGCGGTGGGAGCAGCGAGGTGCATATTCAGCCGGTGATCCACCTAAAACCTGGGCGACTGCCAGTGTGGGTATAGAGGACAATTATGGTGGTGGTTCTCGTCAACAAGATTTTATCGGATCATTTCGGATATCACGAGAACCCATTCACGGTCACGTATACTGACCAAGCAGGGGGGAAGCGTTCTTGCTGCTCGCCACAAGTCCGCTGAGGTGACAGGCTATGAGGGCTCGCGTCGCTGACAGTCGTGCAATATGGTCAAGCTAAGGATGTGCTCGCTGGTGGCCAGTTTAAACTGTTTAAATTCGCTCTACTCTTCAAGTTCCCTGTATCTCTCAGAGTAGTACTACGATTCCCGTTGACTTTCACTCGGCATTGTTCTTTACATTGGCAGCTAGCTAGCTAGCTATAGGCATGTCTAATATAGCATGTGGTTGAACAACGGTTCAGTCGGCGCCAACATAGGATCAGCCGACTGGCGGTCGGATACCAGACAGCGTCTCCATTTATTTTGGTTGCATTTTGTCCAGTCGATGCGAGGCTCGCCGTTTAATTACGCAACGGTAATCGCGTCAGGGCGCTCTTATTTCGATGATCACTGTTGATGGTAATCCGGAGCCGAAGATCCGAAGGTCGTTCGTTTCCTTCCACCACCTTCGGAGTCTGTCCATTTCTCCGCTCCTGCGTCCCGTAGCCTGGGGGAGAGAGAATGTGTTCGATGGGCAGGTAAAGTACTCTTATTCTACCCATATATATGCGCCAAACTCTGCTCAGTTAGTTGCTCGGCTCAAAAAACGACTGTTGCGACCGCCGACAATCTGCCACGCAAATCACTGTTGCCGAAAGACGACGGTCATTGAAAGCCGTAGCTTCTCAAATACTCGACAGGCTCAGACTGTATGCACACTCTGACCTCCTTATAAAAAAGAGTTGACCGTGTGTCAAGTCTCTATCTTCACCCACTTTCTTTTCACAATGCTTCCAGCTTTAATTTCTTCCATCGCAATCGTCGTGACTTCTCTCTCCGGTGTGGCCGCCCAAGAGTTCGTTTCTTGCTTCTCTTATTCAAGCGTTTGCTCACTTTGTTTCCAGTCCAGGCCAAACTGTTCTTTTCCAGACGATCCTCGCTGCTGGTTGGCCAAAAGTTCAATGTTCAACTTACTACTAAACTTACCCATCCTTAGCTCCGGGAAAATGTCTTTCCGCTTCCGCCAATGCAAATGGTGCCCCGGTTGTCATTGGTGACTGTACTCCTACCGCCAACAACTCTTGGGTTGTTCCCAGCGGCCAAGGTATCCCCTCGACGCTGCAAGTCTTTGGCGACAAATGCCTCGATGTAAAGGACGGCGCTAACGCCGACGGGACCAAACTCCAGATTTGGACATGTGCAGCAGGCAATACCAGTGCGTACACTAGTTGTCGTTTTGCCATCCGATTCATCCATTATCGCCCAGACCAGCAATGGATCACTGGTGGTTGGGATCAAACCATAGCTTGGGCCAGTAAAAACAAGGTCAGAACCTTTTTCCGTCGAAAAGAGCTCTTATTGACAACGGTGAAAAGTGTCTCGATGTCACCGATGGCAAGGCCGACAACGGGCAACCCGTGAGTGCTCCTTCTTGACTGGTCTTTCCTGAGCTCTCATATGTACATTAGATTCAACTTTGGGACTGTGATTGGACCAATAACAACCAACGTTGGAATGACCCCACAGTAACTCATCCCAAATCGTCTGTCTCTCGCCATCGCTTGTTTCTTCCTTTTCTGAATATCTTCAGCTTTACCATTGGTTGGCAATCGGACCCGTCTCTTTGTGTTGGCGCCGCAATCAAAGGAGTCAATGCCTCCGTTGTGATCCTCCACTGCGATGCTTCTTCTCCTGCTCAACGCTTTACCGACCCTCTCAACAACGGCGAGATTCGCCCGTGGTCCGACGATCCCAATGCTAACCTCTGCATCGGCCCCCGCGCCGGCCTCACTGCTGGGGGCACCAACCTCGTTACCATTCCATGCGACGAAAACTCCGCCACACAGCACTGGAACCATCCGGGCGGGCTTGGTTATCTCATGGACGGCGCTAGCAATGGCTTCAAGAACTGTATGGACTTGAAGGACGGGAACGGCAGTCCTGGTGCACCGGTAGATGTCGCCTACTTCTCGTAGTCATGCCTGACTTCTAAAACAGATCCAAATCTGGGACTGTACCGAATTTGCTGGGCAGGGCAAAAACAAGAACCAGGACTGGAATGTTACCAACTACTACTGAGAGACCCACTCGCTTACACTATCAACTTGAGTTTGCGCTACATTTGTGTCAACTAAACGCACTTATTTGCATTTTCGCAACCTAAACATGCAATCGAATTTGAGCTAACGATGTCCGGGCCTTGATGCTGCTCCCCCGCGACCAGTCCCACTCTTGTCCCCAGTGAATATTTCCTTGAACGTGCATGCTGTCCTCTGTTGACCCTGTTATGACTCGTTTCCTACCTCTACCAAGAGGGTCTTGGACCTCCGGATCTGGCTCGACCCTCACTGCTGATGCTGTCGTTCCCAAATCGTATTGCCCTTCGTAGTTGGCATCGAGCCAAAATGATATCGGCTTCAAAGATGTCGATACGTCTAAGTGCAATGTCGTGTTAAGGCTTGGTAGGGGGAGACGCGGCTGGATGAGGATCGGGCCAAGAGATGTGTGGATGTCGGCGAGCAGAACAAGATTCTTGAATGGAGAAAACACAGCAGGAGAGCTATATATTGGGCTAAACGGTTTGCTGATTGAGAAAGTACACCGTCAAAATGGGTTTTCACTTGCCCAATAGATGTCTTGAGATTCAGTCGCAAGACTTGGCCTGGTTCCTCTGCCTGAAACCTGCTGATGGCCTCGATTGCGGCGTTGCTTGTGCAAACGTCAAGCTCGTATCCGTCGGAAAAGCCGCTGACATTGGCGTTGCTCGTTTGCAAGAATATCGAACTAGCGAGTAATCCCTGATTATAAGTAAATTTCGAAAAAAAAAAGTATAACGAAGCGATCTATTAGTACCTCATAAGTGATTTCAGCATCCACAGTCTTCAGACGCAAAATTTCGAACGCGGCGTATTGTGTCCATAGGTCGTCAATATCGTAGGCGAAAAACGGGAGGTGAGCGCTGAAGTCTTGATAAAAGAATTCGTAGGTGGGTAATTGGACCGTAATAAGCACTTTAATGGTCGGTCGAGGTTCCTCTGGATTTGCCTGTTTTGCGTCAAGAAATAGAAAATGTAGATGGTGGACCAACCCAGAGTAAAAGGCCGTGCTCGTTTGCCGTGTCAGAGCCCATGCGACAGATTTGTGCTTCTAGAGAAGCGTCCTCCGTCGAAACCGTAAGCTCCACGGAGTTGGACAACGCAGTCGCGTCTTTCGAAAGACGGAATTGGCCGGATATTGGCCCGCGAGAGAGAAAGAAGAGTAAAGCAGCGTCGGATGGAAGCGACAGCGAGATGGAGTCTTGATCCGAAAGCGACTTGCAAGATATGGCAGTAGCTGGGTCCCCATAAGCCTAACCAGTATGCTTGTCACGAACAACTCAGGCCAAATGTTTCGTACCTCGAGGCGAGGGTCATCTGCACTTCGAAGATCCGAATGAGGTATTGGTTCCGATTCAAAATGGCAATGCCATTGAGTAGTAGGCCATATTCTTAGCAGAGCCAACACTGTAACACTGACGGCAAGAGCAACTCGGAGAAAATGTGCCATATGCCAGTGAAAATGTTGTCGTGGATGTAAGCTTTCGGATGGCCGTATAGAGTGGGAGGCTTTCAACATGTCTTCTCGGTTATCCTCCAGTCCAGAGATTGGATACGTTTTCAACGTTGTCGTGCGCCTGAGAGAAGCCGCCGTGACAAGCTCGGCTGAGTCAGCCTCAGGCTTATCAACTGCTATCAACCAGTACTTGGTCAAGATTACCACAGACTCCGAGGCAAGCACTCTACACTGGCATTCGAGTTGCCTAGTGAAACACGCGTCATATTGTGTTTTTAGGTTGTGTTTCTCGCACGAACCGACGGGACTCACAACTTACCTTCAGTTTTTAATTTCTACAGTCGCTATGAACTCCACTGAAGGTGTTCCCTACGAAATATGGACCCTCTGCTGGTCATACTGCTCCAGCATCTGCCTAAAACCGCTTTCTTTGACCTGCTCCATGTTTCGCGACATCTCTCAACGTTTCCTGTTCGAGCGGCTCGCCTTCACCATTCCTCGTCAGTCACTACGAGTCTCTTTGGATGAATTTGGAGAGAACCTTGGAAAATTCATGGATCCCTACAAATGCATTGCCATGCATCACCAACTCGCGTCGTATGTCAAAGAGTTGACTCTCCATGATGAGGATGGGGACGTAAATCCGGACTCGGAGCTCGAGATCTCCGAATTTTCGACGACTTTTGCAAAGTCGATCTTGGGGGCTACTACCTCGTTTGTCCACCTCCGTACCCTTCATCTTGTCCAAATCAACCTTGTCGGCGAGCGACGAAAAGCACTTGAAGAACTCCCGACGTCTCTGGCGCATCTGAAATTGACACGGTGCGAACTAGGCTGTGGTAGCCTCCTCCCATTGGAAAGCCTCTGCCTGACGAGTTGTGTGGTTCGACTGGATAGCGACAATCCTATAAGCCTAATCAACCCAGAGACCATGAAAAGCCTCATTCTCCGTGGTGGTCCCGTAGACGATTACAGGGCCATAGATGATTCGGTTGCCGTCCTTCAAGAACTCGCCGAGAGTAACATGAGTAGCTTCTGGCAGCTCAAAGAATTGGTATTGGAACGGATCGGCGCCTCTCAATCGATGCTTTTGGAATTTTTTGCTAAATGCGAAAGAGTGGAGAAAATAGTTTTCGACCGTCTTCCTAAAAGCTACGAGATCAGGAATCCGCCACTCGGTATACCGCGCACAAGTCTACCTCGCCTTCGCCAAGTTCTCTGCTCTTGCGACACCGTTGAAGACTTCGTGCCAGGGCGACCTGTCGAGATCCTAACCCTAGTGCGATTTATGTATGCACTTAATGACCGCTTTCCAAACGCCGTGCAAGCCTCCAGCACTTGCGCGCCGACCCTTCAAACCCTCATAATAGCTTCTCCAGCCGACAAGGAAGAACTCGTTCCGACTTTCGACACCCTCGCTTCTGTTTTCCCCCGACTCCTCAATTTAAAGTTGACGCTTGAATCCATGAGCACATATGAGACTCCTGGATTTATGGTATTTCTCGAGCTGCTTTCAAGGGCAACGGTCGCTCTCCCTGCTGGATTGGAAGGACTGAAAATTATGGTCGAGATTGCGCAATATGCGCCCGAGTTTACACGAGTGTATGCTCTTCTCCAGCCCCTTGACCTTGCCCACCAACTGGCGCAGTCACAAGGCACGAAGGCGTTAAAGAGCCTTTCGATTACGTACGACAACAAAACGGACATCTGTGAGCGAAATACGGAAGGGATGTGGGTTTTCAAACGGCGAGAGCTGATTTTCTGAGTTCTGTTGGTGCATTCAGAATCATCACGATACCTTACTTCATCCTGTACTCTTGTTGCCTTTCCCCAAGTACCTTCGTCAGGCTGCAAGATCGGCTTAGGATGAGCATGTCAATGGTTGCGATACAGTTAAACTTCTGGTGTCGATGTGACAACTTTTGACTCCAACTATCATGACTTCCATCAATCCCTCCACGTTCAGCGCCAATCGGCCAGTGCATCCATTGCGTATAATTAGTGGATGGGAGCTGTAACAGCCAGTCCGTGACGCATTCCTCCCGATTCCTCCTTGGATGGCTAGACCCTCTCGCTCCTCGACTAACGTCAATGGTCAAGGAGCCCAACTAGCTCGCTCTGCTTCGTGGATAACCTGGAAAATGGACCCACCAGCTCATCTTTTCGAAACCAATGAACCCCCTTCCGACCACGACGCACGTATCGTCCGTCAAATCATTGCTCAACAGCGGGAACGGGTTTCCAGCCTCGACGGAGACATTGCGCGATTACAGAGCAGGCTAAGGAAGCTCGAGAAAGAGCGGCGGGAAATGAGGGAGCGTATTGAAGTCAACTTGACTCTGGTTTCTCCCCTGAGGTCGTTGCCGGTTGAAGTGCTGGAGGATGTCTTTTGGTTCGCTATTCCTGAACCAAGAGAAATGTCCACGTTGGATTTCGACAGGCTGGCGCCATGGAATGTTGCTCAGGTGTGTGTGCTTGACAAGTTGAACTAATGATGCAGGCGCTGACTTCCAACAAGGTTTGTTGGCGATGGCGCGACGTTGCTCAACGATTTCCGGGTTTGTGGTCGACTATTTGCGTCAACCTATCGGACACACCACCCACTCCTGCGCTTCTTGTCCGACAACTCGAGCTAACAGCCAATCGACCACTTCACATATATTTTTCCTGTGTCGCGAGCTTGAACCTCGGCTTGAAGCAACTTGCCATACTCGTCCAACACGCATCTCGATGGGAGTTGGCCGACCTCCGAATCCTTGGCGCGGCACACTCGGATGTCCAAGCAGTTTTGAAGGGTGTTCAGGGTCGAATGTCCCGTCTACGCTTCCTGCGGCTCGAAGTACAGTCGTCAGTCCTCTACAGCCAAGTGTCTCCTTATTTTCGAGACAGCTCCGGCCTCCGACATCTCACGCTATTCGATGCCAACCCGGGGTTGCGTTTTCCTTGGAAACAACTCGCCTCCCTCGAGTTGACCGCCTCGGCCGAGACAATGTTGCGGATTCTCCAGCAATGCCCCAATCTGATGGAGTGCCGTTTGCGCCCACTCAACCTTCGCGACTCTTTACTCACCGACAAGAACATGCTTGTTCAGCTAACGCATCTGCGAAAATTCTATTCTACGGACACCAGGATCTTCGAGCTCTTGACGCTTCCCGCATTAACACACCTCTTCCTCCCCCACGATTGCACTTTACTCGTCAACTCTCTTGTCCAACGCTCTCAATGCTCTTTGCAACACCTGTATGCGTTCGAAGGGTGCTCTTCAAGTATGATCCGTGGCATTCTCGCACAATGTCCAGCCATTACCACTCTGGGAATGCAGCTTTCGTCAACGTGGGAGTTGAGCGACATCCTGCATAAACTCACGTTCAAGGGGGCCTTCTCCCGCTGGATACCAGGCAAATCAGTACTAGCGCCGAACCTCACCACGTTTGGGATTTCCCTGACGGGCCCGCTCATCGAGGATGCTGCTTTAGAAGACATATTCGAGACCGTCGAGGCGCGGTCAGAGAATAAACTGCGCGTATTTGGGTTGTTTCTTTCGCATTCTGTCGCTGGAGATTCGTCGCTGGAAAGGTTGCTGGGCCGGCTGGAGCTGTTAAAGAAGAGGCTGTATACGCATATTGAGTATGAAGATGGGGCGAATAGTAGATGGGCAGGAGGCTGTGTTCCTGCACTGTTGGACCGCGAGGGTTGGCGCGACCCGATAGTGTACTTGTCTTGAATATTTTGTGACAGTGACCACGTGCAAAAGTCACATTTTTTTTCTCTTTATTGCTCGGTCATGGGGCTGACCACGACGCAACTCCCGACATGCAATATTGCTAGTTGCAACGGTGAAGATGGAATCTGTCCCATCTATGCCACACATCTGTCCAAGTTCTGACTAGTAATCTACTAGTACCCTCGCCAGCGGCATCCTCTCCTTGGCTGGTGTCAGTTCATTAACACTGGCTCCGGTTACTGGGAGTCGATCCTGAGCTCAAGTTTACGGAGGAAGTTGGGATGGGAAAACGACTGCTTGAAGTCGGTGTTTGCGCTGAGAAAGTGAGCATTTTCTCTCGACTTTTCGTTCATAGGATTGCAAAGCAATCCAGTTCAAAGTCTATAAATGAATGGCTGACAGCATCGTGTCCTAGACTCAAATTTGAACTGGACGGAATATTCCACGCACAGCTGTTGGTTGCAAAGAAGAACCATCATGACCTACCGGCGCTTGCAGCCCGCAATATTATACCGGGCACGAGGCTGAGATAGGGCACCAGCTTCCGGACAAGCTTTATCGCTCCCTCTTCTGTTCTCCCCCGACGATGTCTCCTGATGAGTCAAAGCCGCACCACGTCTCGCTGACTGCGGCTCGCTGTCGGGTGTCGCGTCGTTTGGGCACGGTCTGGAATCCAGCTTTGGAGCCGCTGGACGGCCCTTCAAACTCTTCTTCGCAAAGGCCGTCGGCAACTTTTACCCTCACCAGATCAATGGCAAAGTCTCGCTCATTGTGGAAACAAAAGCAGCGGACCAAGAGCTCCGAAAACTATGACCCATCCAATGTCCCCGTTCCTCCATCGAAAGTTAGAAAACCCAGCAATAGCCCCGCTGTCCATCCATATATCAACGAGGATGCCGATTGTGTCAAACGTTTTGACGCTGCCGGCTCGTCGACAACGGAGTTTTGGAAGGTGGACATTCGGCTTACGCTTTTATGGTGTTTGGCATTCGAAGCATGCCCCAACCAACTTCGAGCTGCTGTCGATCTCTGGGTGTCCATCATTTCCGGCACTTGCGAGCGTGTAGATTGGGGGATATGGGAGACAGGGGATGAACAGTGGCTTCGCAAGATGCTGCTTGAAACGGAGAATCCCACAACCGATCGATTCTGCTTACGTGCTTCATTGCTCTCGCCTGCCGATTGGGGTCGCGCTAGGACAGCTCTCCAACGACGGACTACCACACATCCTGGACCGTTAGCAGGCTGGTCAACTCGTCAACGAGTGCTGCGCGTCGCCTGGTGTACTGTAACGGCAAACTCTGGGCATATTGGGCAGGAATATCCCGCTCTTGTGCGATACATCGATGCTTGGGCCCATTTTACATGCCCATTCCGTCTGTCGAACGATCTAGATGGGAAGCTCCGCCTGCATAATCGAACCAACTGCTTTTTTTCGTCTTGCAAAGTCGGAGTTTGGCAGTGGTTCAAAGCTGCTGTCCTCGACTATAACGAGGGACAAGTCGAAGCTGCCATAGGCTGTTGCGCCAGATGTGTCTCACGGTGCGATTCAAGCTTCGCTCTTAATTCGTCAACTAACAGATTCATGATCAGTGCTTTACCCGCATTGGAGAGTACCCCTGCTGCTAGCCCCATTAATCGACCTTCTGTTTGGCCAGTAGTCCTTTGGGTCGTATTCCAAATCCAGGCCAATGGACAAAACACAATCGATGACTTTTTGGAACTTCTCTCTCCTCAGCTGAATCGCCGCAGAGCCGTTTATAACGGGGTGAGCTCGGACTCAGCGACAGCGGGCATGTGGACATGGGATATTCAAGATGAAGGTTATCTACGGAATGCTCTCCTCCCATTTTCGTCCCATGGTTGGATGGAAAAATACCCGACATCATGGCGGAAATACCTCGAGATGCTTGATGAGCAAGGTTGGGATACCATTGAGGCTGCCACATTTCGCTCTTCTCGCGACCGACCGGCTGGTCTTGATGCTCCCGCTGAAACTACAACACGCATTGGCACACTTGCTTTATGGGCGAGTTCCGCTTTTCATTCTGCGCCGAAGTCTCCCATTACCATTACTCTCGATTCTGCCGCTCTACTGGACTTGGCTCAATTTCTTCCAAGCGACTCTCTCTCGAACGGCACCGGGTTCATTCGCTTCCTCATCGAAAATCCTCGTCGGAAGCGCAAGAAAACCAAGTCTATTCAGTACGATATGAATTTGAGTACTGCAACAGTGGACTGGCACTTGCCACACGAATGGCTGGCACACAATCGAGAGCAACTACGGACAGCACTTGTCACTGACGTCGCTGAGGGGCTGTCGCTGTTAAGATTGGTGGAGAGTGTGTACTGGGTGTGGCGGATCCCCGCTGCGTTACCTCTGGTGAGCAGTAACACGTCGTTGGTCCAGAATCAGAATGCTCATGTGTATCTTGAAGCGCTTCATAATGTCTGTTTATGCCAAACTGGTTAAACAGGGTGATGAGTGAGCTGACAAGCCTTCTATGTCTTCAAGCTCGTTGACAACTGTTTAGAGACGCGTTGAATCAGCTCAGAATTTGTTTACATGACTGGCAAAATTGGGGGCCGCTTGCTTCTTTGGTCAACTTCAAGGTTGCCCTGTCGACGGTCATCGGCCTTGCAAACGACATCGAGGTGAAATCATCAGGCTTAGAAACACATGATCCAGACTAAAATGAACCGTAGCGCGATGTTTTACCGACACGTCTTATCAACGTGTTCATCCATACTGATATTCTGTGCCTCTGTGCCCAGATGACAGAAATCACGAGGAATCCTGTTTTTTTATGAAGATTTTCTAAGCACAAACGGAGAGGAAGCCCAGAAACTTCTTGACCTCATCCAAGATGTCTGTACCCTCATCTTCAAGTTTCTTTCTTTGGCTGAGCATTTCATAACAGTTACTCGACTACCCTCTGCTCCATGATCGTGTCCGGCCTGTCATTCTGAAAGCCCTCCTCAAGTTAGCATCACAGTCAAAGCTGCACCCGCGCTGCTTTGCTATTTCGGATCGCTTACAATTGGAGGAGCACCCTGTTGCGGCGGGATCGTTTGGTGATGTGTGGAAGGGCGTGATACACGGCAAGGCTGTTGCGGTCAAGATCATGAGAGTTTATCTGGACCGCGATGTCGAGGCATTGCTTCAGGTCAGATGCCCGAGAATCCAATCACCTTAAACTGATTCGTCTGCAGGAAATTTCTCAAGAGGGACTTATCTGGCGCCAACTTTCACATCCCAACCTGTTGCCCTTCTTTGGAGCGTATCATCTGGAGGGAACACTCGGCAGACTGTGTCTGGTCTCGCCTTGGATGGAGAATGGTGACATCGCGCGGTATCTCAAGACCGCGCCACCCACGGTGAACAAGCTGTCCCTTGTGCTTGATGTGGCCCTTGGCCTTGAGCATCTGCACTGTCTGAAACTCGTCCACGGTGACTTGAAAGCACTCAACATCCTCATCTCCCGTTCTGGCCGTGCAGTCCTTGGTGATTTTGGTCTTTCCTCGGTCACCGACTCCAAGATTTCTACCACGGGTTCTATGCGGAAAACCGGAGGGACCGTTCGCTGGCAAGCACCGGAGCTGTTTCGAGGCAGTCCAAATAGCTTCGCGTCGGATGTGTACGCATTTGCGTGTGTTTGCTACGAAGTCGGTCTCTTGCTTTCCACTGTCGATGTCGTTGCTCAAGAATATACCAGATCTTCACGGGCAACATTCCGTTCTTCGAGTTGACCACGGACATTGCTGTGATGTTCCAAGTCATCCAGGGCAACCGCCCCGATCGCCCAAACACTATTCCTGATGCGTTGTGGAAACTGATGGAGGAGTGCTGGGCCGCCAATCCCTCAGACCGCCCCACGACGACCCAGTTGGTATTTCGCCTTCGCGACAGTCCTATAGGCGCGGTCCGGTCCGACCCGGCAAGGGACTGGGATCCGTGGACAACCTCCAAATTCAGGTCGTCGCTAGAAGAGCACACGTTGTTCTTGTCGTGCGGGGCAATGGAGGACTGGCTTCAGTTTGTCCGGCGGGCTAATTCGGGGGGTGCAAGTGCGAGGGAGGCGTTTCTTTCTGTGCGAAATGCAAGTGCTGCTGCTCGCGTTGGTTGATATATTGGACTTTTTTAAGCTATATGTACTGTACTAAGACTGAAAACTGTAACCTTAACTGATGGACCAATTGGAGTCCATTCTAATGGCATTCTGAACAATAAATAGCACAAGCCTACCAGTTATCGTAATCGGGGACGCCACTTCCTCCCTTCAGCGTCGAGTAGATCCACGTTGCTCCGCTGAAGGTTCTCCGCCCAGGGTACCCAGCAGCTTGTTTGGATGTCTCTCCTGCGAAAAAGGGTCGGCAGATAATCTGCATTTGAGAAAGAGCCTCCTACTCGTGAATTGGCCATTGGCAACATGAAATCTCGCGGAGGTTAGGGACCGATGCCCGAGTCGCAGTGCCTAGGTCGAAAGCTGACAGAAAAACACCCCATCGGAGCATGATCTCGGCGCCAGCAGTGCGTTTTCTGCCAGTTGACTTTTGTGAGGCCCTTTAAGTTTGCATGGAACGTACTGTGGCCAATTGGGAATGGTACACTTGAGCTTTGTTAGAGAAAGGCGAGGGTGTTGTGCAGTGAATATGGTAGTTGACGGCGGGGCAGCCAAATGTGTCTGAGATGACTTGAGTATATCATGATGAGACGGGCACTCAAAAATCCTACCGCCCTGTATGTAATGATTTCCAGACTGGTAAGGTTGGGACAGAGATCAAGTAGGATAAGTTGCTCGCAAATTTCACCAAGCACCCCGACAGTCAGCTGTACTTCAGAGAGTTTCTTCCCATGGGCTCTCAACAATGGCTCCCATTCAAGTGGGCAGCCTGGGCGGGAGTTTGAAGGTGGCGCACACCGCAGAACACGGATAGCGGGCAAGCTGAAGCACATCAGCCAAGGATAGCGAGGTTCAAAGAAAAGACAAACGCAAGACCGGCGAGGATGGTGACAAGGCTCGGGTCCATTTGCTTCATGCTCAAGAACTCTAGTTTCGACAGAGAGTCAGGGGGACAGCGAGCATTCGGTTCCAAGTTGAATGGAACCACGCCCTTCCAATGTAAGCGTTTGATCGTCGAGAATTCAGAGAAGACCCGGGTCGACTCTGGCTGGGAAAGAGGTTGGTCTTGAATTGCAAGGCGCATGACGGCAAGACAGTTTCCAGAATGCTGAGCGATAGCAATGACGGTGCTCATGGGAATCTCGACTCTAGTCGTGAATGTTTGCATAGGTTTCAGTGTGCCTGATTGGAGTGCAGTGTATAGAGCTTCCTTGGAAACAGAACGAAGCCAGATATGAGCGTGAAAATGGGGAAGACCAAGTTTCTACTCCTTAATCAGTAGCGATCATATCATACTAGTATCGTTGAAGTCCAACGCACAAGGAAGGTCTTGGAGACAAGAAGCATAGGGAGCCTAGGACCAGTTATTCGGTTGGGCCACAAACGACCGGTAATTGCGTTCTCTTCGCGTTGTGGGCAGCACATGGCGAAGTACAGGATTTGAGACCAGATCTTGGCTTGAATTTCGACGGAAGCGCGTTGCATTGGCACAAAAAACGGATTCAATGACGGCATCTCAGGCGGTTCGGACTCGGAGCTTGCATTGAAGCTGAGAGTGAGAACATATCTGGAAGGGGGGGTACCCAGGCTTACTGTAATAATTGACCACTGGTAGGAGAAGTCTGGAGCACCATATAGAGGGTGGGACTAGAAAAAAAGTCGGGAACGCTAGTGTTGCCTGCCTCTGGTTTTCTCATCTGGACGATTCTCAGGGGGCACGCAGAGAGTGATTTGTGCATTCGATGCGCAACCCAAAGCGCCGAGACGCTAAGTATTTCAAGTTTGTTCGCGCCGGAGAAGGCCTTGATGATTTTCGTGGATGCGTCATTAGAGGCGAGGGAGAAGTAACAGTCAAAGTGAATCTGCAAGTATGCGTCATAAGTCAAATCTCTACTGACAATGAAGAAGAGACCAAGGATTCCCATTTTTTACTGATGATGGCCTGAGCCAGTGCATTCACCAGAGCATCCATCATCTTATTCGACCTATATTTTTCAGGAGGAAGTATGAGCAAACGTCGCGGGCTGATGAGCTGAAGACCGCTGCAAAGCCCGTCGGTGTTATCCGGCGAGAAAAAGGTCGAGAGAAAGGAAAAGATCGGTGATGTTTGGGGAATATTTCAAAATGATGTGCATAGCTTTCCCGTAGCCGCCCTCAACCCGTAACTGCTTGATGAAGCGACCCAAGTGTAGCTCGTCGTTTCTGCTGAGTGAGTTGGAGAGCGCGTTGGCCTGCGCTTTTGACCTCAGCACGACGGTGGCGTAGAGTAACGGTGTGCCCACACGCAACCAAGCCTTGCAGACAACGAGGTAAGCCGAAGAGGACTCCGAAAATCGCATGAATGTGTCAACAGCGGGGTTGTAAAACTTGTCGTCAGGAATGTGGAAGGCAAGGGAAAGGATTTGAAGGATGGTTTCATCAGGCAGCGAGGTGGCCATTGTGAAGGACTAGACCTTGACGCCCGCTCGCATCCTACTTATGGCAGGTAGCTCCGACAGATAAGTATCAAGCCAGCTGCCCACAAAGCCCTCACACCGAGATGGATTGGAATGGTGAGAATTACTGTGCATTCCAAGGAAGACTCTCTACACATCCGCCGGGGTCTCTACGAACATCTGGGCCCACATTGCCTCGGGGTACCGTGGTCCAGCTTTCTGACCTTCCGCATCAGCCTTGACGGCCAATTCGCGCACTGCAGCCATATCTTCGGGGGTAAGCGTGATTTCGCCTGCTGAAATGTTTTCGAGAAGGTACTGCATAGAAATGAGTCCACAAGATAATTGAGCATGCAAGCCACCAACCTTGATCTTCTTTGTGCCGGGGATTGCAATGACATCATCACCTTGCCCAAGCACCCACGCGAGAGCTACTTGACCAGCTGTGGCGGGCTTGCCTGAGGCGGTCTCGTATTTTGCGCCAATCACTTTAAGCGAGTCGGCGATGTGGAGGATGTTGGGGAAGTTGGCGGCGCTGTAGCGCGGGACAAATCGACGGAAGTCGTCTGCCGCAAAGTCATCTGGAGAGCGCTGTTTGTAGTTGTTAACAGTTATAAATGCACAGACAAAAAACAACGCACGTATTGTCCCGTTAACAGTCCGCGACCCAGAGGCGAGTAAGCCACGATCTTGACACCCAGTTCACGCGCAGTCCGAAGCAAGTCGATCTTTGGGTCCTCGATATCGAGAGTAAAAGGCGAATATTCGACTTGAAGAGCAGAAATGGGATGGACAGCGTGGGCACGACGAAGAGTTGACGCGGAGACTTCAGAGAGGCCAAGATATTTGACCTTGCCTTCCTTGACAAGCTCCGCCATGGCACGCACACTGACTTCAATCGGTGTCTTGGGATCGGCGCGCTTTGCAAGGAAATATGAGCGGAAGCTGGAGAAATAAGCAAGTAAAACATACATGCATGTAGTAGAGGTCGATATAGTCGACCCCAAGGCGCTTCAAACTGGACTCTGCTGACTTGCGCACATAATCGGGCGTGCCATTGACTGTAGAGTCTTCGAGGACGAACCCAAACTTGGTCGCAAGGAAGATATCAGCGCGCTTTCCCGTGCGCTTGAACCTTGACAAAAAACATGAGAGACAGACTCCTCGCTGGAAAGCCGCTCACCATTTGCCAAGAAGCTCTTCCGAGTCGGCGTAAATGTCGGCGGTGTCCCAAAAGGTGCTGCCCGATGCGTGGGCTGCGTCAAGGACCTTTGTCAATGTAATTAGGTCAAAATTGTTCAGCGCATGAAAGCCTACCTTGAAGCGCTCTTCGTCAGGCTCTACAGCACCATAGAAGGCTGAAATGCCCATGGCGCCAAAGCCGATGGCGGGAAAGGTGGAAAAAGCGATGTTGCGAGTGGTGGACATTGGATGTGAGGACGGATTCGATAGTGGGGTCCCTGCTAGAGCGACGACCTTTTATATTCGCCATTTTCTCTGCTGGTCGGCGCTCAAGTCAAATCGAAGCAATGAGTCATGACGAAACCGCATCATCAGCGGATGTCCCGCATCATCAACGGAAATGATGCCGTCAATCTCAACGGCCCCGGCCAATGACAACGGGTAGTGGACCATCCTTACTGTGATAGCTCCCTGACTTCAAAAGAACTGTAATCATGTTCTATTGGGCAAAGCACGACCGTAGCCCAGCATTCAATGGCATCTAAGGCTTCACACAAACACATATTCTACGTCAATGGCTGTTTCTTCGGGTGCTCCGAGAGCGATGTACGCCTCAGTCGAAAGCGCAACATTTTCTCCGGAGCAAGCAAAACATACGCCCGTGATGGGCATGGTTTGGACTTCCGAGTTAACTGCATAACATGGCCATGAGCTTACTTGAACTTTTCCGTTTAGATGACACCCACATTCGACGGCGGCAGTATGGCCACACAAGGTTGTGTTGAATAGATCTTGGGACAGGAGAAGAGCAATTGCATCTGGTTCGATGACGAATCCGCAGGCCTCTGGCGCACTATCGGGATGGAACTCGATGGCTATGTTGGAGTGTTTCAGCAACTTGAAACTTTCAAGCCCAAGGAACTTCCTACCAGTACCAACGTGCAGCTGGGCGCTCGCAGAAAGGGCGGCAGCGATGAGAGCGATAAGGCCAAGTTGCTTGAACATGTTGGATGTGGACTGAAGAAACAACTTCGTTGCTTTGCGGCCTTTAATACTCGTTCATTGCCAGCACTGGCATCCCCAGACTTGTCGGGCCAATTACCTCGGTCCTTCTCTACAGTTCTCTCCATCGCCGTTAAAAGCCCATGTGTTATCGATAGATGTCGTAGTTTTGTTATATTGGCCGCTTTGGCGCACTCGAACACCGTGACTCGTCCGAGCTGCAATCTTTGAAGGCAAGGATCACGGCCACTCCTGAAATGCACTATTTATGCACCGATGGTAAGGTGTGTAGCCTGCAATACTTGCTGCAACAGTCCGTACTGGTAGATTGAGCTGTGCTTGGGGACTTGATGAAAGCAGCCAAAGCGTGGTTGGAGACAACTTGAAGGCTTTGAGTATGAAAGAAGGTCGTAATAGACTCGATTCTGACGCCAACACTTGAACTGGTAGGTCCGCAAGCGGGAGGGTCAGCAATGATTAGCATTCATGGCTCGTGTCTTCTTTGTTTGGAACAGTGAACTTGACGGCTCAAACGTGCTTAGCTCGAATTTGCCAGTAAGTAGTAGATGGCCAGTCAGCCGTTTGTCACCGTGACGCTCACGTGCTCAAACGTCTTCCGTTTCTTGCCCGACAATGGACATCGACAGGTGGTTGTTCATGGGTTGTACCGTCCTACATACTTCCCGGAGACGAGTTATTGCGAGTTATTGGCAACTCGGGTCTGTCTCGTCGCCATTTGGCAAAACGACTCCTATCTATCCCAACGTCTGAGACAATCGGGATAGCGGATGCCTTGCGACATCCGCTGTGGCCATTGTGTCTTGTCTTCCACCTTCATCTCGCAACCTTCGCCCAGACAAAACCAAATTTGCTCCGAAAACGATGTCCTCCTACATCATCTATTCAACACCTTCGCCCACTCCCTCTATGGTACATTGCTTCTCTTTAGCTGTCGACTGCTACTGATAGCGTCTCTATCTCCAGTCCTGTTCCATTTCGACGTCTTCCACGACTTCACTGCACATAGCTGGCGGGCGGAAATCGTCGTCTGACGACAAACGGGTACGTGGAATGGTTATCCGGTTTGCTCAGTGGTAAATCATCTTTTCAAGCCACTCGTTGAAATGTCGAAAGAGGCCAGTGAGACGAGTAGTCTCATCAACCATTCTGTCAATGAATACGGCGAAGAGACCCTACAGGCGAGTGCATCTCGGATACGTGTCTTTTTGCTGATACTCTTGCCACCAGTTCATTGAAACATCAGGGTCTTGTTCGCCTCCACCAATTGTACCTCAATTACCTCAGCGCGGATCCAACGTATGCTGTGTTTGCTTTGCCTGTGCATATTTCTTATTCATCGTTATAATTAGGATTTCCAAGTCGAAGAAGCGACTGCTGGCATCGCTAGTCTCGATATTGAGCCAGTACGCAATAACTTTCATTTTTAGTCGATTGCTCATATTTCAATCAGAATGTCGTTCCCAAGCCCAATGCCAAAAGCCGAATCTACGAAGATCGTCGCGCTCCGACCGCTCGCCCCGCCACACCTTCACCATCGTCTTTTCCAATTGTCGCGGGTGAACCTGAACCCGCGCCGAGCAGCGATGACGCCTCACCAACACCTCCAGCCATGGATTCTCCAATACGCCAGCGTCTTCCTAGTAAACGTCGCCAACTACCCCATGGACCAGACCTCAATTTCGGCGGATTGATGATTCCCTTTGCGCGACGGAGCTCAGCTATGCGCATTGCTGTTCTTGTTCGTCTAGGCATGGTCGCGGAAGAGAATGCTAAGAAACTGGAGGAGGAAAGACAGCGGGCGCTCGAGATGGCGGCCAGACAGCAGACAGTCAAGCGCAGGTACCAGTCCAAGGGACTTGTCTTGCTGGGACATCCGCCTGCGGAGGATGTTGCTTGGGACTTAGTTTAATGATCGTATTTTGTGAAAAGCGCTGTATAATAAACCGAGATTCCCTATACCATATCCGTGCATGTCATGTGACCCCAAATCATCTTTTCCACTTCCAGTCAACTCACCCAACCAAGACATTCAGACTCGATGCTCCTTCTCCTCAAGTCAACAATTCACCACGGATACCTCGGTGCGCCAAACCACCCTGAGCCTTGTCGCACACCGTCTCGAAAACCGCTGAGTGACTGAACTTGAACCCGGCGTGACGAGAGCTTGAGCTATTATCTCCATTGCCCCAATATACTCATGAGAATATTGGTCTACACTGCGCGGGCCTGTATTCGCGCCGACGTCTCGAATACGAATCGTCATTCAAACCACCGGCACCCAGGACTCCGCTACGGACACAGGTCAGAAAAAACCTCGATTCAATTGCAACACATCAGGACTTACTCTCATTAGCTGACGAGGCGATATCTGACCTCAGCTTGACTGCAGTAAACTATTCACGGCTATGCTCAACGGACGGAAAAGCCGCTTGATGATTGCCTTGTCCAAAGGATTGATGCTCCGGTCGATCGTCATGCGCAAAGACTGCACTAGACAGTCCGCCAACGTGAGCGCCGTGTCTATAACGCCGGCGCAATAGAAGAAGGATCGACTTTGTCAGCTAGGCGCCTTTGTCGGTGTTCTTCAACTTGTTGCGCCAATACGAGACAGCCGACCATCAAAGGTTGTGTAGATCATACAGCCCTCCTCGTTTAATTCGGGCACTGGCACCCGACATATCAGCAGTCGCCCTCATGTTTTCAACCCATGGCGGGAGGTAGTCCTGCAAAGGATGCAGAACATTGCATTAGGAACTTAAAATATCGACTTTCGGCTGTGGGAAGTCAAAAGATCGCCTGTTTCTCCTGGATGGCGACCGAATACGCATTCAACTCCATTGTGAAAATCTCAATTTTGTCAAGCATTGGGCGTGCCTTCTCCAAGTAGAACTTGACCTCCGTTGACCATACTTAAGCCAACTCACCGGAAGTCTCTAATTATTAACCGACCCCAACTCGGACAATGTCTAACTCGAAGCAGAGCAACCGCAAGTCCGGTGGTGAAGCAAACTCCTCAAAGACATCGAGGTCGTTGGTCGCGTGCATAGGCTGCCGACGACTCAAATTAAAGGTTGGCCTGCTGTGCTTGTTGCAGTCAAGCTCAATAAAAACTAGTGTGTCCAGTCGGAAAACCCACCCCAGAGCGCATGCACTCGTTGCAGAATGCGAAATGTCACCTGCGAATACCCCATGGCAGTGGAATCTTATAGCTACGACCACCACTTTGCGCAGCCAAGCAACTTGACTGACACTGTGTATGGTGCTCCAAGCGTACCAAGCCACCCCGGAACAGTGTTTAGTGGGCAGCGAGGGATTGGCCCTGCATTAATGTTGCCGTATACAGGTCCGCCGCCTCCCTTCACGCCGCCACGATACTCTGGTGGAACACCGTATCCAAACCTAGGACTAGGTAACTCACCAGACCAGGCTTCGACAACGCGTCAACAACAGGCAGGTCAAATTTACGTCGATCAGCATTTTGAGGGTGGGCAGCCAGGTCATGGTCAGAGCGGTGGAGGTTATCATCAATATGGGGACGCTCAATACGAGTCTTTCGACTCGACAAACCATTAGAGTCCAACTGCGAAACACATACTTGGATTTTGCTCAGAAGTACTTGCACGTGATGTATTTCCGCTGAGTCATCAACCACACTTTGCTCTTCAACGACCACCTCGATCTCCTCGACGCTCTTGAAAGATCGGGCTGGTATCCTTCTGAAACTCGATAACATTTTCTGAACACTCCACCTCAAAGCTATGGCCAGACAGGAGCCGCTCCGCGCGAAATGTCTTCATCCACTATACCAATAAATTTCCCTCCTACCGGACACCTACGAACTCTAGTCTCGTTTGGGCTGCAGCAACTCAACACTCATGCTGAACACACTCAGTGCATCTCTGGCGCAAGTCAAAGCGCATCAAATCAGTTGCACAGCGGATATCCAATCGTGAATATGAAGCGGGCACTGCAAAGCTGGACGCGAGCGCCGTGTTCATATAATTGGCGCGACAGCAAAGAACACAGCATTTTTCAAGTTCGCTGAGGCGGCGTGGTTGCGCAATTGATTGCTCCTCAAGTAGGTACCCGATACATCCCATTCATTATCAGCGCTGTGTCGACGATGGTGTAGATCATACCAACAGCTACTAGTAGGCAGCGACTCGGAACGGTTCAAATTATGCAAGCGTTGTGTTGTTGCCGATTCCGCTTGCATGAACAGAGGTAGAGATGCGAGCTTAAAGTTAACGATTCAAGGGTATCGATATAGAGAGGGTCAAAACAATTTCAAGGTCGCTTGTACTTCCTAGATGGTTTCGAAGGCATACTTACAGCTTTGCTTAGATATCGACTCTCATAAGCGGCTCAACGCAGGATGAAACAGCTTTCAAGCTACACGTAGTACCGACTCGTACAATATTTAAACCAGTGGCCACTCAGTCAAGTTTGTCAGCACACAGACCAATTCCAATGCCCAAACTGCTCCAAGGAAACTTCAAGCTCAAGAAGGAAAAGAAGGACATGTCTTCTTCGAGGACATCGCGGTCTATGGTGGCATGCATGAAATGCCGGCGAGTCAAGGCAAAGGTCAGTCATTGCTCATAACCGTTCAATGGCCATTGGGTAATGAAAACTTCTCAGTGCGCGCAGTCGGAGAACCCACCGCAGAGCGCATGTGCTCGGTGCCGCTTGCAAAACATCACTTGCGAATATCCTTTGGCGGAAGATCCACGCAACTACGAGGACAATGTCGCGCCATCGAGTAGCCTCACCAGTAGTCGAATGCGGATCCCAGGCCCACAGAGGCCGCCTGTCAAGCAGCGAGGAAATGGTTCTGTTCTCCCATACACTGGTCCGCCTCCACCAGCCACACCACCACGATACTCTTCGAGTGAGGGGAGGCCATATCCGAACTTGGGACTGGGTCCGTCTACTAGTAGCGAACCGTCTACGTTACCCTGGCAGCGGTCCTCCTAGCATGGCAGCCAGCCAGCTTCGAATGGCGGGAGATATGATCCATAGGGAAATGCACAATCGTTTTTAACCGACGCTAGAGGCTCATATGTATAAACTTTGTCCCTTGTAATGCTGCTGAGGTCATCCATCAGTCACGTTTTTTTGCACTTGCCTTCTGCCTTCGTGGCGATTTTCCCCACTGCCTCGACGATGGATGCATCTCGCTTGCTGGGAAGGAAGTTGGCGAGTCTGGATGCGCTGAAAGATGAGAATCTTTTCCAGAGACATTACGTTGAGCGTGCCAAAGTCAGACGAACTTGAAGTGAGTCTTGATGTCCATGCAACACATCCGAAACTGAACCAAGAAAAAGTCATCCGCGAGATGGAATGAAAGTAGTTGCGGGATCGACCGAGACATGCCGCGCGACAGCTCCACAGCTGCGGTCCCATAAATTCACCAATCTGAGAGGGGTTCTCCATTCGCGTCTCGCTCTCTCCCTGCACTCTTAAACAAAAATCTGCACAACATTTCTTACCAAACCCAACACTTGAACTCGACAATAATGTCCTCCTCTTCGTTTACAAGCCCGTCCAAGGCCAGTTTTAATTGCTCACAGCCCGTCATCGCGATTGACATCTGTGCAGCATTCTGAGAAGGACCTCAAGCTTATCTCTCTCTTATACGCCGAATTGACCTATGTGTGTCTCTCCTTCCAGCATATAAATCTCGACGCTAACAACCTGTGTGTGTAGTCTGAATCACCGAGTGCACACCTCGGCCCAGGATCAAGTCAGTTGTCGAAAACGTGTACCGAATCCTCAGTCAGCGGCTTTCTTCCATTCGCCCGTTATTTTTGACTTGGCTAATTTCTCTAGTACACGCCTCTCCCAACAAAACGCTCTGTGAGCCACTGCCCTTCTTTTTATCCGATATTGTACTGACAGTCCGGATAGCGTCGTGGTGCAAACCCACGAAGATCGTCCACGACTTCTGGAGTAGCACACTGCTCCGTTCGTCCTCGCTATCTCGTTGGGGTCGCGTTAACGACTACTTTCAGACCTCAAAGCCTTTTTCTTGCCCTTCGACCTCGACTTCGCCAGTAAGTGTTTGTTTCGTGGTGGGCATCACTGAATGTGCTTCCAGTCCTCGCACATAAATTCTCAACGAGGGAGGAAAAGGTCTACCTCGGTGTGTCGTTTCATCGCTCAGTTCTGGATAATATGTCATCCTTTTTAGCACGAACAATCCTCTCGACAGCTTCCTCAGCCCCAATGCCCTGTTTGTGCGAGATATGTACTCAGATTAGCACTAACATGGCATCACAGTATATTTCCCCCGCCCTCGTCGGTTTTGCCCTTAAAGCCTCATACGCTATTCACGAGAACCTCTCCGCACTGGGCGGCGGCGATTCGCCATCGAACCAAGTACGTCTTCGATATCTGCATACTTCTCTCTAAATTGTTTGGCAGCCTGGCTTGACCGCCTCTCCCAGCATATCTGAGAACTTATGCGCACTGGGCTCTCAGTCACCTTCTCCCCGCCGTTCACCAAAGGCTGGCCTCTACGGCGCCGTACGTGAGCCCGCTAGCGTGTCGGAATATCAGGTATTTCTTGGGCTCTTCCATAGTAAGTACACTTTCTGAACAAGTTGTAGGCTCCCGTTACCGATAAGTCGCCTTCTCCTCGTCCTTTGCCTACTCCTCGCCGGTCACCTAAAGCTGGGATCTGCGGTAGTGTCCGTGAGCCAGTTGGAGTTTCGGTATGCTTCTGCTTTTGGACTATCGTGTTACTCAAGTTAATTTTGTAGTCGGCATGCACCTCACGGCCCTTGCCGAAGACTGGTCTATATGGCGACCGACGGGGCCCTTCTTCCGTCTCACCGTCACTTCCTTCTGCCACGGCCCTCATTGCGCCTACTCCTCGTGAAGACCGGGTCCGTGTCAGCGTTCGGAGCGCCAGCAGTCGTCACCAGCGCAAGGCCAGCAGGAAAGGGAAGGTGGTCAGGAAGTCGTCCGGCTTGCGTGTCTCGGCAATTCTTTACTGCGCCAGGCAAGCTGAAGCGGCGGCACGGGCTCGTCAATTGGCTACCGGCACTGATGAGCAGCGCGCTCAACAAGAGGAAGCACAGCGACTTCGGGAGGAACGATTGGCCAAGCAGGCAGAGGAGAAGCGGCTGGCGGATGAGAAGCGGGAAAAGTCAAAGCAGAAGGCGATTAAGAAGCGCATTCAGCAAGCCCGCAAGGAGGCCAAGGAGGAGCGCAGGCAGTTCAGGGCCAGTAAACGGGCATCCAAGGTTGAAGGCTATATTTCGGAGCTTCGCACACAAGCGATGAATATAGACGTCCAACTGCTGTTTGCGTAGACACTCTAATAATTGTAATACCGGAAAAGGCGAATATACCTCTCAAATATCAATAGGCTTGTGGAAGGATGCCTGGCTAAAATCGAAACCGTCTATTACATAATGTGTATGTGGCTGTACACTACAGACTTTACTTTTCGTTTGCAAACAAGACATGACGCTTGGATTCTCTTGCTAGAAGTCAACTTGGCGCTATAATTGACAGCAAAACGACTGCTTGTGCAGAAGGCAATGAATGGTACGTCAAAGTTGTTGGCTTTACCGGTGCCTCATAGTTGATGTTTTAGTTAGACTCTAGCCAGTCGTTACAGGATTGGATGTCCTCTGGCGGATCATCGTGCTAAGCCATTGGGTGCCGGCATAAGCGAGCCTCTAAAAAGGCTATGGATTCTTCCCGCTCTACGCGTCTCCCATTTGGATGTCGCCGTCCCCATCAACTTCCTCCTCGATCGGATTCCCCTCGCTGGTTGACTGGGCATTACTCAGTGGCCCGCGTTAGCCTTCGACAAGCGAAAACTCACTACCACTCTTGTCGGCAAGGCCTTCTTCGGACGGGCGTCGATCAGGCGCGATAGCGATGGGAGGCGGAGTGTTATACGAGGGGACCTTTCTGGAGCTTTCTCGGCCAACATGGGCTCTGAATTGGGCTGCTGTGGCTCTGCCTCGCCTGGTATGGCTGTCGTTGGCAGCGTGTGCGTAACGGACGATTTGGAGGATGATGTTTTAGAGAGGCCGTTGTCGAGCTGAGAAGGGAGTGTGTCGATGGACTGCGACATTGGCAATAATACCATGGCCGCCTTTTCTTCGGCTATGGGACAGTGGGAGAGAGGGAAGGTCTGTTTATATGGAGATGGATGGCGATAAGGGCACACACACATAGACGCAACACGGGTAATATCTGAATAATCTACCAGTCCTTTCTCTGACCACAACAGAAGTAAAAGTTGAACGCTTGCGTCTTAGAAAGAGACAACAATCAGAAGTTGGATCGTTCAGGTTTCGCAGTTGCCGGAATTCACGAAGCTGATAACCGTTTATGTCGACCGCGACGATTTTTAAATTCAGGAAGTTGGGTGGAGGAAGCTACAATGAATAGCGCCGACTGGATGTATACCCTTCCGCTGCCCCAACCCAAGTTACCCAACTCAAGTCAAGAATCGTGTTAGAGCCGATTCAGCCGAAATCAGAATCTCGCTGCGGGTGAGTGCGGGTGACTATGCTTGATCTGCACCACGTGCAACTCATTGCCAACTTGAAACTTCCTCCAAACCACCTGCGACTTACGATACCGATAGCTGTAGAGTCTTGGGCGCTGCCAACACAACATTTCCGCCTTTTACCCATTGCTCAGCTCTGCAAGTCGAGTTCTGTTTCACAGTTTTCCACTACAGAGACTGAACGAACTCAAGAATCCAGCACACAACGAAGGGAATGGCATACCAAACGTCCGAAAAAAAGGCTTTCATGTCTTCTTCCATTCACCTCGCAGTTGACATTCTGCTCGAGATATTTGGCCTACTGGCCGTCCCACTGGAATATCACCTTATTTCATGCATAAACAGCATTCCTATACTTGCTTCATGCTCCCGGGCCCTCGTCTGCCGTCAGTGGTCGCCACTAGCCCAAAAAATGCTGTCTCGCCAAATAATTCTTCCTCCGAATACCCGTCAGTGGGACTAGCGTCATTTGAAAGTGACGACGCCGAGCAGGCTCCCCTCGCTCCTTGCGGCCTTGGACACGAAGACTGAGAGCAGATGGCTTGCGGGGGTGTGTGATGAGCCTAACGCTCAAACCCACTGAACCGGAGCTAGCTGCGGAGGCAGCATTTTTTGGCAGAGGTTCTGTTGAGGACGAAGAATTTGCCGCACTGGCATTTAGAGGTGTCGACGATTTCCTGTGAGTTTTCTTTGGAAGATCTCGAGAGACTTCGGGTCGGTGGCCCCAAGATAACTTCACTCAACATCACACAAGAATTTGGACCTTTTGCGGCCCAGCACCCCAGAACCATGCACTCTGTCGTCGCTTTATTTCCCTCCGTTCGCACTCTGGAGATCTCGTCAGACCTGTTGGCCATGCCCCCATTCAAACCCCAACCACAATCGTCTCTGTGCGTCTTTTCAGAATCTCAAAATAGTCATATGGACCCGCGGCCGGCGGTTGCATGGTAGTAGCGACATACCTTGCGAAGCGTTGCAGAGTATATGTGAACGACAGGGAATTGAGCTCAGGCTGAAGCGGGGTGGCTGGGAAAATGGAGACGATGATGATGTTGAGGTTGGGCTGAGAAGAAGATTTTTGGCTCTTGATCCCCCAGAAAAATAGATGGTCCAAAAGGGTCCTTTACTCTGTTAAATTTGTCGTGGAGTAGTAATAGTATTGTATTCATTGTGAATCAACAGATACTCATACGCTCAGGTTACTTCGAAGTCGTCAATCAGTGAGTGTGCCGATGTGATCCGAGCTTACCTGATGCGCAGCACATTTCCCTTGTTGCTTCAGACCGACTGCAACTAACCACGATATACCCAAACTGCAAGCTTAGGAACTCTTGACGGCCTAAGTTCTCACTCTTCGGTCAGTTCTACTCAAATTCTGCGTGATTGCCGACCGCAAGGCCACATTCTCCACGGCGGCTAAACGAACTCTAGGCTCATAAACAGAAAATCGCCTTCATATAGACGCTCCTCGCACCCTAAAGTGCACTGCAATGGCTTTTTCTCAACCTATCCACGACATTCTTGGGCTTGACATCATGCTCGAGATATTTGACCTGCTGGCCGTTCCGTTACAATACCACCAGAGCGCGTGCGACCTTTCAGTTCTCTCTTCGTGCTCCCGCGTCTGTCGACAGTGGTCCCGGCCGACTCAAAAACTGCTGTTTCGCCGACTTATCCTTCCTCATAATATATACCACGCTCCTCATCTAAGAGCGACTACACGAAACATGCTTCCTTCTCTCCTTGGAGTATTGGATACAGACACTGAGAAGGGTCGATGGCTTGCGGGGTGTGTGATGAGCTTGACGCTCCGACATACTGGACGAGAGAGGAATGCGGACGCGCCTCTGCTAGCGGAAGTCTTACTGCGGACGCGGAACTTGCGACATTTGGATGTGACGACGATTTTCTGCGACTTTTCTCGAGAACATCTCGAACAACTGCGAGAACGGGGCCCGAAAATCACATCACTCAGCATTTTCCAAGACTTTACCCCCTTTGCTGCCCAGGACCCTAAAACCATGCATGCTGTCGTCGCTGCCTTTCCGTCCATCCGCATTCTCGAGATTTCATCCAACCTACATCTGACTTTGCCACCATTTGAACCCAAGCCGCAGTTGGCACTTGTCTCTGTGCGGTTTAACACAGCACTAGTCAAGGATGTTGGGCCGTGTCTCGAGTCATTACTCCAAGAAGGGAATGAAAACACACTGGAGGCTCTGTACCATCGCTCCAAAAGCGGCCACTCAAGTGTCTTAGATGGAGTACTCGCCAAACATGGCTCACGTTTGCGTTCGCTGGGCGTGAAGACTCTGAATGATGATACTTCTGTTCGCAGTCTTGCCCGATGTAACTCTCTCCAACGGATCGAACTGGGTCGCTTTCCCGACAAGCAAACGCTCGAAAACATCCCCAAAAGCATCAGCACGCTCGCTTTTTCTGGTGTGCCTGAGGAAGACAGCTACACTATTCTTGCGAAAGCGCTTTCATCGTTTCCGAATCTCAAAAGGCTTGTGTGGACCCAGCCTATATATTCGAGCGTCATACCAGACGACGTGTTGCAGAGCATGTGCGAGCGACTGGGAATTGAGCTAAGGCTCATGAGAAAAGCGGGCTCCGACGGGCACGATGGAAATGAGATCGATGTGGAACTGAGGAGGAGGTTTTTAGCTCTCTGACCAGAAGGCCATCACGCTCTCAAGTCGGGTGTTTACTTTACTCGATGGAAACGTATTTGTTCATTCGGCATATCGTCTAGACTCTAGAGAGAGAGAGAATGGATTCTCCGGCCTTTGGATTTTGAAAGTGGTGTGACGTCACACTAAACGCTGTCTTCCGAGTTCCGCCAGGTATTCGTCAATCGAGTCAGTTTCAACCTCCTCAAGCTATCCACGTAAGACGGCACAACACACCGTTGAGCTTCCTCCAAGCACCTTATCGATACCCTTGACTGCGGCACAGAAACAGTAAAGGAGCGCAGTCATTTTCGTGCCTTAGCCGGCTACATTCACGACTGCGGCGCAGACCATATCTGGGAGGTTATCTAGGCTCAGACGGGGTCCATTGAGAGGTCAACCGAAGAACGCATCCTATGGCCGCACCATCTCCTACCACCAATGAGTGCGTTGTCTACAGCTTTCGTTTTTGATGATTACTGACACGGCCTCTGTGGTATCAGCTTATCTTCCAGGTGTGCAATCCAGCATTTCTTGTGTTGAAAGCGCGCCACCGACCAGTTGATTATATACGCCAGTGCGCCAACAACCGTGGCCTCGTTAACTGCAAATCTTTCACCCGAGGGTATTGCGAAGCTCCAGTCAGCTGCTGCAGCCGAGTTGCAAGCACGTAAACTCAAGAAAGCTTCCACGAAGGCAGGAATAGCAGCAGCTCTCGATGCAGGAATACTAGGCAGGATATTCACCTTCGTCTCGCATCTCCATGTCGCGACCCCCGAGGAACCGGTTGAACCAGAGCCAACTCCCCAAACCCTTACCTATCTTCCTATCGACCCGCCGAAAGGTTCCAAACCCAAATCCACAACGCACAAAGAGAAGACCAAGGCAGCTTCAGCCAAACCACATCGCCTCCTCTCACTCCTCCTTGTCAACAAACATTGGAATGCGGCTGGGACGCCACTGCTTTACAAGCACATCTCGTTAACCGGACAGACCGGAACCTGGGTTGCCCGAAAGCTTAGACGGACTCTAGAAAGCAAAAAGCCTTTGGTCCAGAGCATATTGTTGGATGCTGAGCTGAGCATGCTTGCGAACGACGAAGTAGAAGAAGGCTTGGAGGAAGAAACGAAGGATCATGTCCGAATTGTCCGCGTATGCGCAGAGAGCCTGAAGGAAGTTACAGTTCTGGGCTACACAAGTCCTAGCATAAGCGATGGCAAACTCACACCATACGCCGAAGCCCTTGGCAGGTGTCATGCTTTAACGACGCTCAACATCAGTGGAGGCGACTCTGGGCTCTTGACATTCGCAGAGCTTCTCGGGTTAATGAGCGGGTGGCCCTTGTTAGAGCGAATGGTCTTGAAGGATGTTCTGCGGGAAGGAAACTCTTCGATGGTGAACCCGACGGGCTGCAAACACCTCAAGATGGTGAAGGTCATCGACACGTTCACCGCCGAACAGCAAATCAGTTTTGTACAGCTTGCCCAAGCTGCCCCCAACATGACCGTGTTTTGGGTGGAACAACGGGGCAAGGGGGTCTTGCCCGATGACCTTTTTGATGCTTTGAAACTGTGGGCTGGCACGTTGGAGGGACTATGCGTGCTGACTGAAGCAAACCGTGAGTTGTCGAAACTTCTCGTGAAACAATAGTGACGCTTTTCACAGTCAAACTGGAGACGATTCTTCCATCTCTCCACGCACTGCGACAGCTTGACGTTACCTCCATGGTACTAAGACCCTCCGCCGACACACTCAAAGCCGGCAGCGCCAAACTCACTGGCCCTTCCTCCCTATCACCTGCAACTGCTTTACCACCCGCAAACGCTGTTCAGCAACATCTCAAGCCGCCTGGGATACACACTCTTACCTATCATCATCTCCCACCACCGCTTCTGCCTATTCTGACAGAGTCGCTTTCACAGACGGACGTTTTCCCTACCTTGCGATGTGTGGTGCTGAAGAACGGGAAATCCTCGAAGAAGGATAAAGACGCCAAACAACAACGCGAGAAAGAAGATGGGTGGAAGGGCAAGAGCAAGAGTGTGTATGGCGTTCCGACACGCGATGTAGATAGCGAAGGACCGAAGATTCGCAGTATGATCCATCAAGTCCGGTGGCACGATATAGTTGCTACCCCGCCCAGTCTAGTGCTCGGGTTCGAGTTAGGATACGCTTCAGATGCAGTCCAGGCATTGAAGGCCGGTAAGTTCTTCTGAAGTTGTTGGTCTCTGTGATTCATTGACCACATTAACCAGTTGGGCGACGGAGGAGAATTAGAGTCGTATTTTGAGAAGAGGATGGTAAGTCTATTACTATCCACATTGTTGCTCTAACTAATGCAGGAGTAGGAAACATGACTATAAACTGTTGTACGATAGTGCACGAGAAATACAGATACAATTGGCGCTACGAGCGTGATGACCTTGGCCATCCAGCCCTGACTTTTCCTCGACCGCGATCATGACCTCCTTCGAGCTCAATTGCACGAACGGTATACTCGACCCGCTGGTCAACGTACACTTCCACAGACTGTCCGGAGATTCAAAGGACAGATATAAAAGTAGACCAACGAACTGACCTGAACTTCGTCGAGGTCTAGAAACTCGTGGTCGCCTGTGGCGGAAGAACGACCGCTTTTGCTCGTTTCGCCAACGCGCGGTCTTGTGCGTGCAGTGTGGTCGACTTGGGGGCCTAGATACGGCCGGTTGCGATGGCGGTACCAGTTGCGGAGGTTCAGGCTGGAAGTGGGTCAGAACGTGGCTGATGGGGAGATGGACGGGGCGGACGTCGCCATGATGGAGTTGGAGTAGACTGATATATAAGGTCAGAACCCGCGCCGTCAGCATGAGGGGGACTGACATTTGGATAGAGTGAAGTAGATGCCGACCCAGACGAAGTTGTGCCTCATCAGGGTAAACTGTCGCCGTGTTAGCGCCAAACACATTCGGGGGTGGGCACGTACGCAGATCATCGATGCGATGCCGATGCTGCCTAGCTCCTGCATTAGCTCGGTTGTGGATATTAGTGCTGCTTACAGGTCAGTAAGCCGTCGTTTATCGTGAATATGACGACTGCATCGACCATCGCAGGCACCCTTTGAGGAGTTGGTGAAAAGAACAAATAAAGCACAAATGACGCACCCCATGTAACCCTGCTTCAGCTCGCGTAGGTAAAAGTACCGCGTTGCAGCGAGAAAGATATCAGTACCCGCCGATATAGCGAGTGAGGCCATCAGAGTTGACTGTGAACCTGGTGAGTTATATGGCTTGTGCGGAAAGAACTAGCTGACCCCATATCGTGCCTCAATGAGATCCCAGGTGTTGCTGAATGTCCTATGGAGCTCCCATAAGTATATCTCGACCGGTTGGCCACTTAGGGAACCCACATAACGACACTGAGGACTGAGGTGGTTTGAGTCCTGAAGGGAGACAAATTGAACAACAACTCACAGATGGTCATGATTAGCCTGACGAGGCAAAGAAAAGCCTGGACAGAGGAATGAATGCGGTTGGCTAGACAGATTCTGGTACGCACGATCGGGATCGTCAGCCATAGATTTCCTTTGCTCACTAGAATCCTATCAGGATCGCCAACTTCCCGCCCGGGCCCGATCCACTCACTCTTGTGAATTCTCCAGCTGTAGAATCTGTCGGAAGGTAAGCATTCTTCGCTTTGAATGAGTGCAAGCTGACATACATGTTTGCGTTCAGGATGTTGATTCCGGTGAGCACCACGGTCCCCTACGAAATGGAGTTTCGGCATCTGAATTCAACCAGTGAAGTCAGAGCAAACCGTAAGAGCACTGCGCCGGTCAGTTTCAAACCGAAAGTCAAGCGAAGAAACGCACGGAGATATTGTTGCCAAATACATTGGCCGACCAAAATGCAGGACGCCATACTGCCAGACTGCGACACAGATGGAAATCGTGTGAGCAGCGTCGCCAGCCCTTAACGTTGGCCTTCCGTCAGCTAACTTGAATAGAAAAATCAACACAACTCACCAGATCCACCCCACGAAGGTCTTCAGTCGCGCGTTGTCTTGGTAGAAGATCATGAAATAGAGGAATGTTTGCACGAGGAGGACCGCTGAGACGCTGTTCAAAGCTATTAGACCGCAAGAAGAAGGAGAAAGGGCACAACTCACGCGACAGACGCCATACAGCCCGCGTATAAAGCACCTATCGTCGACCGAACATCGTAGTCCTGCTGCATAAGTCGCTGGAGGAGATGAGAGAAGGAAGAAGGTAAAGGAAATCAGGCGCGTAGGTGCGTTCGCCTATATAACGTCTCCAACCGCAACCGCGCATCGCTATTGAGCGGCTAGAAGATGTGATAAAAAGTTAGGGAGCTGCCGTCACCCACGGGGGAGCTAATCATTACTCGTCGATGCTCTCGGCAAATTCACGAGGACCCGATTTTTCATTTATTTTCTTCGCCACACCCCATCAAAGGCCAACCAACAAGCCACAGACAGCGATGCATGATTGTGGCGCGCTTCTGTGGCCCTCTTCAGAGCCACCCGTCTTTCTTTCTTTCAGCTCTCCATTGACACGATGATAAGGATCCGTGGTCGGCGGGGGAACGACTCGGCGGCGGGTTTGATGTCGTTGTCGTGAGTGTGGAGTAGGAGGCCAACAACGGGTCCGATTCACGGCAAGCGTGAGGTATTTTGACATGTGGGCGTTGATGGGCGGCAAATACGGCCGCCAGGCGACAAAAACTATCTACTCTTCCATCCAAACGACTGTTTATTTGACTCTGACGCAAGGCATGGTCGTTGTGAAGTTTTTGTGAAGGATTTAATGAGGCCGGGTATTCCCGGTGAGCGAAGCTTAAGTATGTTATCCACGGCAAAATTGTCAATCGGCATATCGGCGAGCCGCCGACGTCATACCTTCCTTGCCGGCAGGCGGTGCTCGCCTAAAATTTGGTGAGAACATTGAGAAGCACCTCAAGCGAGTTGCTAAGGCATTATGTAGGGCCAGAGTTGAGCGCAATGTGCAAAGAGTTGGAGCAGGTAAAGTATCGTCCGGTAATCGTCCATCGACAACGAAGAGCTACCTATTCTCTCAAAAAAGACAAACCACACGTACCCACAATGTCCATGGCAATTAACTAACTACCACCGCGCACTATACTCTGGTGCTTTCGGCAACGGCCGCACCGCCCGGACAGACCCCTTAAACTCATTTGTGTTTGCCGCAAAACGCAGCTCCAAATCCACACCCCCAGGATCTTTCTCGACGTCCGGCAGCGATTGCTTGCGCCGGGGAGGAGAGACCAAAGTGACTGCTACTGATCGACCCGCAGGAGGAAATATGGGCTCTCTCCTCCAGCGAGTCCAGTCGGATTGCCGCTGCTCCTCATAGCCACCAATGAAGCTGCGCTCGCTGCCAAGACTGTCCGGCGAGGACCGGGCATGGAAGTGTAAGGAGCTAGGGTCCCCTTTCGATCCACTCGACGATTCGACACTGACTCCCAGCCCGACGCGAACGATGATGAGGGTCGGGACAATGCCCTGCGTTGGACTGATTAATGAGAGTGTCTTAATAATAGAACGGCCAAGAACGTACCACAACCTGCCTTAATATCTCCGTAACCACGAGAATCCTTTCTTGCTCTTGGACAGCGAGTCTTGCCGCAACAAAAACCGAGTAAATCAAGCCTGATTCCAGCCTGAAGATATCAGGAATAATAGGCGCAACAAAGTCGAGAACTAACACGATGGCGATGCTTGATGAATAGTGCTTCGAACTTCCACCCTCTTTCAAATGGTGGTGAACAGTACGGTATATCCACCAAATCCGGCCAGCTAGTGCAAATTTAGAGCCGGGCCCAAGAGACAGCCGCGAGGATACCAGTGAGAAAGGTTATGAAAACGTTGGTGCCCAGCGTGAGGGCAAAGAAAGGCGGCGGTGGTGTATTGGGGTTGAAGCCAAAAACTAGGACAAGATTACTTTTTGAATGTCGAATGGGAGACCTTACTGTTTGTCACGATGAGTCCAACGATGCCTGGCGCAATGACGAGCCAATTTCGGTTCCAGATAAGCCAACAGCGATAAATCTGTGTAACATCAGAGTTGTGAAAAGGTGCCAAGTCCGCCTCTACGAACTAGCAGAGAATCCGCAACCAGACTGCTACGGTGTCAGAATGGTAAGGCCACTAGCGGAACTACGACTCACTTGTTCGCGACGTAGATCATGTCGTCCGCAAACTCCCATCTGTCATATGGCAGGTCCAGGCCCAGAATGTCCCCCGACCCAAGAAACAAGTTGATGGCGGCCTGCAACGTTGAGAGCACAAACAGAGTTATTGCTGTGGCGAAGAAGATAGTTGTCGACGCTGAATATGGGCGAGGACGATGAAGGAGGATGTGGATGCAAATGCAGCATAGAACGAGGTAAATTCCGTAGAAGAAGGTGCCCAGCTGGAATCGACGTGAGGTTTTGAAAGACCGTGGAGAAGGAATGCACCCACCCACATGCTGGCCATGTCCAGCCAGAAAGTGAACGGATCATTGAGATTCTTGGTTAAGCTCAGCTATCATACCGATCTGTAGAACGCGACTTACCACGGCCATGATTGAAGACAACGCGACCTAAACAAACAGCTCTTGGGCCAGCCGGATGAAAGTTGCAGAAAGGGAAGCGACAGCCAGGCTTCCTGGATTTAGCCTCGACGACATAGGTATATATCCCGACGTGGGTGGCTCGAGGAAGAACTGTCCATGGGTTACTTGTTTTTGACGGCGAAGTTGGGAGTGAATGATATATAGGTCTCCATTGGAGGAGCGGTTTCTGCGGACTGCGTTGAGCAACTTGAATTACGGGTAAGCACATAAGAAGGAGAGGATTTATTGGAAACACACCACTGTAGTTTCGAGAAACCGAGAACCGCGCAAATATCTCCAACACGACCTAAGTATAGCACAAAGTTGCCAAGCAAGTTATGAAGCCAGTGTCGCTGGAAACTTGGGTTTCGATCTGTCATGGGTGTTGGAGACTGCATGTAAGTGGTGGGAGACAAGATCGAGTCTTCACCGTCACGTGATAATATGTGTGCAAAGTATGCAAAGTATATTAACTGAGTCTACAACACTTGCACATATGTCTCAGTCCGTTAGACGACACTAGGCTACTCAAAGTCCATACTCGTAGTCCATCAAGTCCAATCGACGTTTCAAAAGTACTGGTAGGGAAAACAGTTTGCGCTTAAAATTGCGCGCGAGATCTCCCCGACGTTGGCGTGCTAGCCAAAACTTTCACCACCATCGGTGCAGGCGGAGGCGCCCGTGGCCGTTCCAAGGAGTCGTTTGGCGCAAACGTCATGCTCGTCAAGCTTCCGTTGCCCACACCGACACCCGGGCTTTTCTCCAAGTCGGGAATCGGCCTCATCCGCACTGGCACCAGTGCGCGCCGGTAATGAGGCTGCTGGGGAGTCTTGGGTGGCTCGTTCTGGATGAAACTCGCCTCGTCTCCACTGTCAAGCACGCCAGATGCCGAGCGAACGTGAAACGGAGATGAAATGCTTGCTTTGGAGGGGACGTCCTGTAAAGCATCTGAGCTAAGGCCGCGGACGATGCGAATGATAATAAGCGTTGGGAAAATGCCCTAAAGAATTTCAAAACCCGGAGACGAAGCAGGATTGGATAACGCACAACAATCTGTCGTAGCATCTCGGTTGCAACCCGGGTCAAGCCCTCCCTATGAATACCCAGTTGAACAACGAGGAAGAAGCAATAGATAAAGCCTGATTCGAGCCTGCAGTGGATTTTAGTGAACCCCTCACGAGGAATGTACGCCTGATGTCTCACACTATCGCAAGACTGGTAGCGGCATAGAGTTTCGAATTCGCTCCGTCAGATTGAAGCTTGCGAAAGATCCACCAGATTCGACCAGCTGAATGTGCGTAAGTCCCGAGACTCATGAATGTTATGGAAGAAGAGTGACCCATGACAAGTGCGATGTAGAGGTTCGTTGCGAGCGTCAGAGCGAAAAACGGTGTTAGCGATAGGTTGATGTCCCAGCCGAATACTAGCATATGATAGTTGAGGACTCAAGCTAGACAACGATCCCAAAGTCTCACCACTAGAAATGACTAGCCCAGCTGCGCCAGGGATGACGATAAAATGATTGTAGTTCCAGGTAACCCAGCATCGATATATCTGTTCAACCGTCAGTTTGACCTTTGAGTCTAGAGTTACACTCACTAAGAAGCCATTGGCAAGAAGGCTGCTGCTGTTCAGCAAAGATCCGACAATAATCGTCTACGCACTTGCTCGTAACATAGATCACATCATCCGCTACTAACAGCTGGCTGAAAGAGACGTCCAGACGCAGTATCTCGGCGGAACCTATCACCAAGTTGATGACGGTCTCAATTGTCGCAAAGAGAAACAGAATAACGGTAGTTGCGAGCATGGCGACTGCGGAGGGGCGGAAGATGGGTCGTTGGAGAAGAATGTACATGCAGATGCAGAAAGTGACCAGGTAGATTCCGTAAAAGAAAGTGCCGACCTAATCCAAGTCAATAAGTTGGAACCCATTCGCCAACGAACGACCACATACCCAAAGACACGCCATCTCAAACCAAAACGCGAAAGGATCAACGTGGGCTTTCTGCGCCAATGAATATTACAGAACATGAGTCAGAGACAGCACTCACAGCCATGACGGCCCTCCAAAAATAACTTGAAGCAAAAGGTCTTAGCCAGAAGTTTTGGGAGAAGAAAAGCGACGCTAGGTCGACGAGGAGAGGAACAAAATGCACGACAGCGGCCAGGCTGGAATTCTGCAAAGGCCAGTAGGTATTTATCCCACCCACTTCCGTCGTCAGAGAAATAGATTGGCCGCTGAGCTGTTCACATTTGACAGGGAAGAATCGGAGCGGGAAGTGGGGCTTGTCTGTTTACAGACGAGCGAGCGAATTGCGTTGGGAGTGAAACGATGCGTAGTCGTGCGTGGTCGTCTACAACTCACACATCCACGCGACCAGGACTTGTTGCTTCAATGCTAGCCACGATTCAGGGAACCCTGACGGCAAACCTAGAGAACCGAGGAGGAGTAAGTGCCAATCTGTCAACGGGAGGGTGGCAGACCACCTGCACAACGAATGATTGACTTGTAGCATGGATGTATATGGGGATTCTTTGGGAGGTTCAATTCGAAGTAGGCATTAGACTTGGATTAGACTTGGCAAAATCTGAGAGTGAAATCAGACTTGATGACAAAGTTTGATACCATCACATACCTGGTCCAAGCGTATCATTCTAGCACATTCTATTCCGTTTGCGGTCCTTGTCTTTGTCCAGCCGCGCCCACAGGGCTTGTTGTTGTCGCAGAGTATAAAGAAGCACCCGTTCATGTCGTTTGGATAACCCCATAACTCTCGCTGTTATTCCCCTATCGCAAATTCGTCATGCAGAACCTCTCTCACCCCTCATCCCACTCCAAGCCGGCTCTTTACCCCGCCATGACCAGGCCAACCCAATACCAACAACCACAACCACAACCGACTTCCATGTCCGTTGACCAGCCCCGCCTGACGCTCCGCCTGCCGTCCTTATCGCAGCTCATTGATGCACGTCCAAAGAAGAGTCTGCCAACAAGAGTAGTGGTGCGTTTTCGTCTCGTCAATTCTCGCCAAATGCTGAATGTGCCATTCAGTCGGGCAGCGGTGGCGGGCAAGTCGACGGAGACGGCGACATCCAGATGGGAGATGCCTAGGAGTGGTGGGCGAGCAGACGATAATTGTAAATGTATCCATAGCCCTTTGAGAGAATGTTCAAACACAATGCCGCTGAAATAACGGTGGAAGTAGACGCACCAGTGGCCTTTCGTTCCCTCGATCACACCCAACGATCTGCTCATTGACCATGCTTGCCACGAATAACCTCAGGTTGAGTGAAGCAATGAGGAAGGCAGCATCTTGAGGTAATTTTCAACCCAGGATGTGTCTGTGGACTATAGTAAGGTTAGAATGGAGACCAGGAAACAAATTTGAAGTGAGATATCGCTGCCCAAGACGAAACAGTCCGAGTTGTGTGGACATGACATTTGGAGATCGGCCAGTCGAGCAGCAGTAAATCAGAAGCTGTTGAAAGTCAGGCTGAACAAGCTAGTTGACAAGGTACTGTACCGAGAAAGCGCGACGACCTGCTGTTCGCGGTTGTCTCTCAATTCTCATATCCTTCCGAGTCCAGAGTTAGACTACTACAAGGTTAACGTTGGTTTGGGAGATGGATCTGATGAAATGTGTACCACCAGGCATGGACTAAACCCCTTAGCCAGACTACACAAGAATAAACCGTGGTCGGTTGAATAACAGCCTGATAAGAAGAGGGTACTAGTGCAGTTTGAGCCTTATGATGCGTGAACAAGAAGAAAAGTAGTCTGGTCACAACCTTGTTACACGCAACCAAAAATTTGCTTCAAGTGCTCGATAATAGTACAAATTACCGTTGTTGCAAAACCAAGTACTGCTAGTCCATGTTCATAGGCTCGTTCACAAATTCATCATACCAATGACGAAGCTCCTCAAACTCCCTCGCCTCCCGCCTCGCTCTCCGCATTCGCTTGGCTTCACGCTTTTCCATGATCCGTCGCTCTGCAGCAATCATTTGCGCCTGCAGTTCAAGGTCCCGGGCCGCGGCGGACTGTCCTCTCCTTGGCTCCTGGACCGCAATAGATTCGCGCTTCCGTCGCCTTGCCTCGGCCTCCCTGGCGGGTCGTTCTCTCTCAAGTCGTTGCCGCTCCAACTCACGCTGCCATAGTCCCGGCTCCGGGGTACGTGGAAAGAAGCTAGAATTCCTCGCCGATCGCCGCCTTGCCACTTCCTCGTGCCAAGCTCCCGGCTCCGCTGACACTGCCTATATAAATTCATTCAGCTGGAGAAATATAGATAGCATTTCACCGAACCCATTGATTGTTGCAAAGCCCCGCAAGATCGAACGCAGAGGGCTTTACGACGGTGAAGCCAGCGAACACCTGAAAAGTTGGGTTATGCAACAGGTCAAGTGGAATAATGGGCACGGACGGTTTGAGGGGGAGGCGCTACCATAGGCTGATGGGCACCAGCGAACTACAGAAAGATGAGATTTCAAGAAAGACTCGGCTCACAGAGACACAAACCGGTGTCGCTTGGTTGTTTGCCTGCTTGTTAAACCAGTAAACAATCATGATCGAGTAGAAGAATGGGTACGAACGGGGCGAGTGGGGGTTGAAGGCAACGGAATACTAGGCTGATGTGCACCAGCCATCTACAAAGTAGTCAGATTCGAGAAAGCCTCGGTCGAGCGGAATACACACCGATGCCGTTCCGAAGAATGAATTTGTCTGCTTGGAATCAGTAACAGAAAAAATCCCGACGAAGTGAGGATTACCGAGAACTTGAATCCCGTTGAGACGGGGGTCTCAGGCCATTGTATAGGCTGATGTGCACCGGCCATCTACAAAAAGGATGAGATTTCAAAAAAGACTCAGTTTACAGAGACACAAACCGGTGTCGCGTCGTTATTTGCCTGCTTGTTGAACCAGTAAACAATCATGATCAAGTAGAAGATTGGGTACGAACGGGGCGAGTGGGGGTTGAAGGCAACGGAATACTGGGCTGATGTGCACCAGCCATCTACAAAGTAGTCAGATTCAAGAAAGCCTCGGTCGAGCGGAATACACACCGATGCCGTTCCGAAGAATGAATTTGTCTGCTTGGAATCAGTAACAGAAAGAATCCCGACGAAATGAGGATTACCGAGAACTTGAATCCTGTTGAGACGGGGGACTCAGGCCATTGCATAGGCTGATGTGCACCAGCCATCTACGGAAAGATCAGCTTTCAAGCGAGGCGCTTGGTCGGCAAGAAGACGCACAGGCATCGGCGCCGTCCCGCTGGAGAATGTATTCGTCTGCTTGAAACAGAATGGTCAATAGTGATACTCACAACAAAGTAAAGCCCACCGAAGATGACGTCGAGGCCAAAGTCTGAGACTGGGGCCCAAAGAATGGAGCGGGGTGTGCACCCGCACGCTGTGAGGTTTGTCAGTGATGTCCCGAATAAAACCAAGGCTTACCGCTGAGGGAAATTTAAAGGGCTCATGCAAAGGACGTCGATTGATTTGAGACAACGGAGGAGGGTCACGGTGTGCAGCCACAACCTGGATAATATGTGAACACAAGCGCCTGCATAGGAGGAGGGAAAACACACCGGCGCCGATGTCAATTCCTTCAGAAGTAAGTCGACATGTTTTTGTTCTCTGGCCGACATCTGGAAACAACGAGGTTAATGGTGTTGGCGGGCCGAAAAGTAACCACAGACCCGGGAAACATATGAAAACATTATTGAAGAGGGTTTGTGCTAAGAGGGAGTTGATTATAGCTTAGGTGGTGTGCAAGTAGGTGAAGCAGGTGAAACAGGATGAGACGACAGAGCAAGTAGCGAAGGAGGACCCGGCGGAGTTTATGACATCGCGGATATAGACGCGGCTCCTGTCTTGGTCATAGTATAGCATAGGTTTGAGATGGAGTTCGAGAACGAAAATGAGTCTGAGCTCAGCCTTCCTGTTTCATTCCCTTGCAACTTCGTTCTCCTCGAACTGAGTTGGCGGCTTGGGCCCCAGTCGTTGACGACAAGGCTAGCCTGAGCGAGCATTGGGAATCTGTGGAACGGAGGAGGGCGAACAAGGAAGACGAGCAAGAGAAAACACACGTTAGGTCCTATATGGTCAAATAAACGGGTGGTGGACGCACCTTTCCATCACGATTATTCTTTCCCTAACCACGAAAACAAGTTTCCTGACTTCAACGCGCGTGCGGATAGTTCATGGTCTTCCAGTGGGCGAGGAGAGGTTTGCATGCGTAGAATTCTGGTCAATGATCTTGAATTAGTGGACGGAGAAAAGACATAAAACGTCGCACGTTCAGCCGACATTATTGTGCACAACAAATCCTGTGTTCCCAATCCGTCGGTGGTGTTTGAGTCGGCTGGGGAGGATTCTTCTCGGAGGAGTGAATGCGGCGAAGGGGCGACAGATGACGGACAGTTTAGCATGCTAGCCACTTATAGGCAGGGAGGAAAGAATTGATGAGCGAGCGGCTCGGCTTCAACGCAACGGTTACAACTTGACCGTAACAGTAGCAAGCGCGAGCCTGAAGAAGAAGAATAACAACTACATTTTGGCGCTCGTGGTCTATCTTCCTTCAGATCCTGGCTTACGAAGCGTGAATGACTCATCGGTCTTTCCTTCGTTCCACCAACTGCTATAAAAATGCGACGCTCTCCCGCTAGAACCCCAGCAATCAGTCATGGTTCTCAAGCTCTATGCAGCCAACCGCGTCGGTGGAGGCGGGGCTCTGGTTGCCATCGTTCTGGCTGCGAAAGGGATTGCTTTCGAATTCGTGCCCACCGAAGTTTCTGCTGTTGGGCCGAAGTCCCCCGAGCTGCTTCGAATGCAACCGTTTGGCCAGGTCCCAGTGATAGTAAGCGTTTCTTTGGTGTTGGCCCACCGTACTCACCGATTTCGTGTAGGACGATGATGGATTTATCCTTTACGAGTCCCGCGCAATCTGTCGCTATATCGAGAACAAGTATCCCGGTCAAGGGCCCAAGTTTGTTCCAGATGCTGGTGACGCGAGAGGATTGGCTATCTTTGACCAGGCAATGTCTGTCGAGATGTGCCATTTCTACCCAGCTGTGTTAGCGGTGGTCGAGGAAGTCGTTTTCAAGCCGTCAGTTTTACACTCTTGGCCTCAAAGCATTCACTTATGTGCATAGTCACTACGGACAAAACACTGATGCTACGGCCCTTGCGGCAGCGGTCAAATTATTCGAAGCCAAGTTGGACGTCTATGAAGTCATTCTCAGCAAGCAAAAATATACGGCTGGAGATGTGCGCCCCACCCTTTCTCCCTGTGAAAGACCCTTACCATCCGCAGAGCCTTTCTTTGGTCGATATATTCCATCTAACCCACGCCCCTTTGCTTGCTCGTTATGCCAACATCCATGTCTTGACCGACAACAAGCGACCACACGTTGCAGAGTTGTTCCTTGTTTTCCGTGGTTGTGCTCACGCTGACCAATACCACACAGGTGGTGGAAGAACCTCATATTGCTTCCGGAATGGGTCGAGCTTGAAGCACAGGGTGGTATTGTGTCCAGAAAGAACATTTAGTTTGAAATACATCTATTCATCGTCCCGGTTATAGTCAAGGAATATGACAACGACACAGGCCAAATTCTGCACTATGCAGCTGCCAACCTTGCTTTACTCCGGTACCACTTGAACAGGACTCTTCAGCCGCTTGCAAAGAACCGGGGCTCAAACGCATAGAGTGGGGCAACGTAAGGGAAGTCGATCATGTTCTGGCGTCAGCCCGGCCTTAAGCTTGTCAGATTAGATGCGGATCAGTGTTATCCAGAGACGAAAGATAACTGTGTCCATACTAGAATATTCGAGAACCTCTCATTATAGTCATCCGAATCGGAACTGTTGGGATGTTGAAGACAAGCAAGCAGTTCACGCACGGACCCACAAATCACAGCATTCAGGTGTCTGATGGATACACAATTTCCATTCATGGGCTCAAAATGACTCTACTGTGGGGTCCTCATGCCGCGGGCCAAAAGGTATTTAAGTCGTGCGGTTTCCCCCACCTCTCTCATCACAGGTTCTTATTGAGCACCTTCTGGGAGGACATATATCCGACGCAGCTGAATTGAACGTCTGGAGCGTCAACATGTCGAGCAACAGCAAAGGCACCAAATCCGCCACTGGCAGCCATACTCAGAACACAACAGGAAGCCATAAGGCGGGCACTGCGGATGGCATTGGACCCCAACCCACTATACAACATATTGCCCCGACTCAGAGCACCCAAGCTACCCGCGGCCAACAGGTCTGTCATCGTGATTTTTGTCCGTCGTGTTCCCCAATGCTCATGTGTGCCAAGTTGAGGCGGGAAGGTGCGATAGCAGACATCGCCGCGCAAGGCAAATCGGATACGAAGCCCCCGAGCTTGTAGTCCCAATGGGCCGACACTGCAGTGGCAGCAAAGGACTGGATGAATGTGAAGAACTTGAAGGAGTCTAAGCTCAGCGGCATTGGCATGTAATTTTGTTTGAACTTGAAGCAGGGGAACCTGGGGAAGGGCTTCAATTCACTAGGAAGTCAGATTTAGGGAGTTTGAACTTGAATGCGATCTAGAGATTTTCCAATCCAATAGTTGGCGAGTTCCGACTCGGACTCGCAGTCACTGGCAGCCGGTGCCAGTAAAGGTGTAAGTAACTCTCATGGGCACTCTGTGTAAAGGTTTCAAGTTGAAACACTGGGTGGATAACAGTACTTATGTCAACGGGGCGATTTCAGAATGGTGATGACGAGAAGTTGGTCATCGGTTGGCAACTATGAATGAGAGGAACTGACGAGGAGCGTAACGGCGTTCCATAGTACGAGATAGTACTTCATACAATAGCGACTCGGAGTCAAGTTCTTGAAAGCTTGATGTAAACTGCCGTTGCACGGTAAGTACGCCCACGGCCCCGCACATCCGCGAAAGAAAGGCGAGGTCGCTTGAAATACTTGTCATGCTCCTGAATCTGGCTCAGTGCATAAACCTCAAGCTAGTGTTCGAGCATGCGGAGAAAAGACAGCGTGGGAGGTCTGCCAGTGGGGAGAAAAGTGGAGCCAAAGCTTTGCCAGTGGCCCACTGGCAGTGGCAGTTACTATGATTAGCAAGTAAGCCCAGTAGTTTTTCGAGGAAAAGGTGATGAACTTGAAGTGAGGAGATCGGGATCATGATGTACTAAGTGAGACCACCGCTTCTACTGGTGATGGGACATGAGACATGAGACAGCTGTCTCATGGGGAACTGCGGAAATACCCGGGGAGGCATGTAGGTATCCACCAGGGTGATAGTATCTTCTCTCCCTGGTTGTTCACGGATGAACACATGGTTCTAATGTCTTCCCCCCTATGGTACTGCCCACATTCACCCCAGGGGATTTGACTAAACTACCATGTGGAAATGATCAGTCTCCCTGGGTTGTTCACAGATGTCTCCATGGGTTCTAATGTCTTTTCCCATGGTATACTGTTCACATTCACCCAGAGGATTTGTCCAAACCACCATGTGAGAATGATCAGATTCTCCAGGTGTCAACATTCAATGTACACATTGGGCAAAAACTTTCTCATTTTATACAAATATAGATATTTTCATGATGACACTAGCAGTGTTGATTCAAAGTCAATATACAAAACCTGCTGCTTTATAGTACTAGTATATCATCCAGGTAGACTTTGTGGTGGTAAAAAAATTGATTCAGAATAAATACATATATGCTGTGGCATGTAAATCATAAACTAATGAATTCAATTCTTATTAGTTCTAGCTTGGTCTATCTGTATAATGCTGCTTATATTCCTAGGTCTCTGGATTCAAGCTTGGAAAGAATGTTACTGTGTTGTCATTTTTTTTAAATCTTCAAATTAATCCTATATGACTTGCTACTAGTGTAGCCCAATCTTCTTGTAGTTTTGTGTATTAGATTAATATTCAAGTGCTAGGGAAAATGACCCACAAAGATTCATTTACTGTCTATACTTGTTATCTCTTGATTGTCACCCTAGGTATAGTAGGTCTTTCACCTAGGGTAATATTGATGTTAGCACCAGGTTGATACAATTTCGCTTACGAGCTTGGGCCGCTCGGTCCACCAGCGGTTGGCGGTGTTCTGGACGCGCCTCGACACGGCTATGCCGGTACTTCATACCCCGGACGCCCTCTGGCGTCGTCCCAACTTGCCAGACGTGTGCTGGACGTGTCCCAAAGGCCCCCAAGGCCTCCTCTTGGTTGCTTGTCGCCTGAAGTGGAACGGAGCTCGGGTCGGAGCTCGGTCCGGCCTGTCAACCCAATCGGGAAACACCGCCCCGGGCCGGCGCTTGCCAGCCAAAATGGCGCATGCCCGATTGTAGTGGCTATGGGCGGGCTGTGGGGCCCGATTCCAGGCTGGCGCGAATCTCGCGCACGTCAGTATGATCTGTCTTTTACTCAGGGTGATGTTAGTATATGCCCTGGGTCTCAGTATTCACTCACCTAGGGTAATATTGATGTTAGCCCCAGGTTGACACAATTACCCTGGGTCCTGTCACAGATAAGACCCAGCCTGTCTGCTCTGGCGCTGGTGTCGGGCCACTGCGGGCCCGTAACACGCAGCATGTGATGACGGGGAACATGCGCCCCAGTAGGAGGAATGCACACATAGGAAGCACGTGACCGAGAACGACGTGTCGAGCCATTGCCGAGCCCAACTCGCCACCAGGGGACTGGGGAGGAGTGCTAGGAGGTCAGGAGTAGCGCCTGGCCTGCAAGGGACATACAATTGTTCTCTCTGTGGCCAGGAACGAGGGCGAGGAGGAGCAAGAGAGGCCAGGGTATCTGATCACCCCTTTGCAGGCCCGAGTATATAATGTGCGATAGCGTACCATATACTCTATCACTTAGATCGTCTGAAGAACTACCTTTCTCCATGCAAGGAGGTGCCAACGACTCATCGGGCCCGATACGACCCAATTCGAACCTTCGACCACCGACAGTGATAAGGGACCAAGTTAACAGGCCCTTTTGGTTTCAATCTACCCCGCTCGCAGTACTCGCGGGCCCGGCGATCTGTCTGTTCTGTTCCGGGCGCGCGTTCTTAGGAGAAGTCCTTGCACAGCCAGACCCGCAGTCTGACATGGGCACCAAATTGAGTAAAACACTACAGTATTATATACAACAAGATTGCTTATGACAATAATAATAATAATAATAACAAAAGCTCAATTATATCAAGTAAGAATTGTTATCATTAGTATTCACATCAGAGAAATATTATAGTATATACTGTTATTAGAATACAACTATATAGGAATTAGACTTGTATAATCCATAGGCTTCTTATATCCCCTGGGCATGTTGCAGACATCCCCCAGTGTACTACTACCACAACCAGAGGCATCTCAGAGCAACAACCAGGGGACTAGTTGCTTTTGCCCCAGGGGGAAAGACATTAGAACCATGTGTCCATCTGTGAACAACCAGGGAGAGAAGATACTATCACCCTGGTGGATACCTACATGCCCCCCTGGGTATTTCCACAGTTCCATCAGGAAAAAAGTGGATCAATTGTAAGTGCTGTTAGATCAGATAATCCTGATATGGCCTGTCAAGCACTTATAGAGTATCACAAGTGCTTATAGTGCACTCCCCAGACTTTTTAGGGACTTATATACTATCTAAAAGCACTTTAGCTAGGTTGTAATATAGTCCTAATGATTTTAAAGGGAATATAAGTGTAATATCATTCTTTCAACATGTTTACAATTGCAATATCATCCTTTTGCTATACTTGTAATGATCTAAATTGAATATCTATTATTTACAAGGACACAAAAGGACTTGCAAGCCTACTGAAAACTTTTGATTGTCTATTTAACCTGGGTATCTCCAATGTCCTCCCCTCTAAATCTGGCTCACCAGAGTTACAGTCAGAGTCAGACTCACTGTCCTACTCTGAGTCTCTATCAGAATGATAGACATCACTTTGTCATCATAGAAGATTTAATTATGCTCATCTATTCTGGGATCTGTGTACTCTATGTATAACAGTAAACAGTATAGTGTCATCTGTTAAAGACAATAGGAATACCTATAATGAGCAAGCAAGAACCAGGATATATGCCTATGACCTTTATCTTCTGGTACTCTTGCTTAGTCTAATGGTTTCACTGTAAATTACAGTGTTAATTTTGTGAGGTTGACAGTTCAACTCCCATAAGAGTAACACTTTACACCCAATTGTTATTGTTAGCTGTTCTGTTCATTCCCTGACTGTCCTTCATGAGTATCGTTGAAAGGTAGTCAGTCTGTTTGAAGATATTCCCATTCACTAACTAGTAATCACCTTCATTTCATTGCTACTACTTAGATAAATTGTTACTTACTTAGCTATGAGTGCTATAGAACCTGAGTTGATACAGGTGTAGCATTGTCTAGTTGTTTTAATATATTTTCCCTCCAACATACATATGCTGATAAATACCTATAAACCTCAATAAGCATTTTCCTTTTTGTACAAGGCTTTTAGATCTTATAAGCATTGCAGTATACTTATAGACATGGAGATGGTGTATAAGCACATATTATTATCTATAATGCAGTTGGCAGTTTACATGCATTTTGAGGCTTTATATTCATATATTGTAGATTACATACACTGGTAATCAGTTCCCTTTTTTCCTGATGTCCCCATGAGACAGCTGTCTCATGTCTCATGTCCGATCACCAGATCAAGCGGTTTTCTGTACTAAGTAGGCTACATGCCAAGAATTGGCCAATGCACTTGCTTCGAGTCTGAGTCAGACATAACCCTCGTCTTGTCTCCGTCTTGATGAGCTCCTTACTCAGTCCGATACGGTCAGACATCGATGTAGAGTATTGAACGCTACCTCAGTGTCAACGCGTCAACAGGAGTCTCGGACATCCGGCGCGGTGTGACGTCACACACTCCTTTTTTACGTCGACGCAGCCTCGTAACCTGGCCATGTCCCCCTCCCTCCCCGACGAGATTGTTTCCGAAATTCTCGGTCCCGCGCTTCGAGTCCAAGATGATACCTTCTCCAACCCTGACTTTGCGACTTTCCAGCGGTTTTCGGAGTCCACCTCAGCCTACCTCATTGTTTGCAAGTCTTGGTTGCGCGTTGCCACTCCTTTGCTGTATAATGTCGTCGTTTTACGGTCGAAGGCCCAAGCGAAAGCGCTTTCCGTTGCCCTAAGCGGGAATCCCGAATTGGGTGGCTTCATCAAGAAGCTTCGCGTCGAGGGTGGCTATGGGGGAGCCATGCATACCATTCTGAAGCTGTCACCAAATATCACCGACATTTTCCTTTCCCTCGACATCATGACGCCAGACACGACTGAGGGTCTTTGCCGGGGTCTCCATCTCATCAGCCCTTGCAGGTTGCTCTTATCCCAGAACCATC